AAGTCCGATAAGTGTCAATATTTAGTTGACAAATAGAGCAGTGGATTCCATGGTTTAAGCGTGATCGTGGTTTTCTCACTCCACGAACGTGTGTGTACATAAACAGTCGTATTTATGGAACAATCTATTGGCTATCATCCATTTACTTAACGCGATATAAGAGTTGGACATTTTCGAAGTATATTTTTTTAACCACAATATGCAACTAGATTAGAATTTGTTCTTTTATATCTTCTGTCGTTCCGTCAAAAGATATATTTTGTAAAAGAATTAAGCATTAAATATAAATGAAGCTATAAAAATCATAATATCAAAGTATTAAACTTTAACTTATATCTTAACTATGCAATTTTAATTTTATATATAGGTGTCATTATATATATATATATATATATACTTCGAATATCTATATCAATGGTTTTTAAACTAAATGATATTGTCCCCTGCGGGTAGATGGGATAACTTTGCGAAAGAGAGAAGAAGAAAAAAGGAGGACAAAGAATCAAGAGAATGACAGAAAATCGCTAGTATCATTGGGGAAAATTCCTGAATTTAGTTAGACAAATTAAAGTTTAATTTGTCTAATACATTTTATATAAGCATAATTTTTTGAAAAGTTTAGCTAACATTCAAACTAGGAAAAGTTTTATAACAATTTAAATAATATTTTAATATTTCAATTATTTTTACATTTACATTTTAAATTTAATTTTTTATTTTTATTGTTACTTAATTTTATTATTTTATCTATTACTTATAAGTATTTTTCTTAATGAATCATGCGAATTGCTACTTTAAATTATTTTAAAATCTGTGTTTATCAATTATTCATTCTGAATTATAGATTAAATTTTTTTATAGGATTTTATAGAACAATAAAACTAAGAGGACAACTCAAAAGAGTTTTAAAATTATTGAGGAATGTTAAAGAACGATGATTTATATCGTCAAATATCTTCTAAATTCTTTCTTGATTTTTCCGTAAAATGCACTTACAACGCATGTATTTACATAAATGCGCTTAAAACTTACTCTTAACGATATTGCGCGTAAACGTATACAACACACGCGTTTACCTAGCTATTCCGCATTTTCCATTAATGAATCTCCTCACGTGCTCCGTGTGCAACTTAAAATGTTATGACTTCATAGCGAGGACTATTTCGCTAAAATGTATGCACCATTTTAAACGTGCAGCTTTAGAATACCGTGTGCCAGGAATATTTTTACCTTAATGTCGAATGTACTGCGAACATTTAACTGAATAGATATAATTACATTCAAAAAGGCACAGTTCTTTCATTTTTTTATCGATAGTTTACATACCACGCAAATGTACGTGTCAAAAAATTAAGAAGTGTCAAAGAAATGAAAAGAGATCTTTAAAGATTTCATTAAAAGAATAATTGCGGTAGTACTTTGATCTAATAGAGTTTAGAGTTTAGAGTATAAATAATGTAAGCCTTGATTTTTACTTAATCACACAATTAAACTATAGTCTAATTATATAAAAATTCAATTATTTAAATTTAACTTAAAAATTTCAATATATTTCTTGAAAAATACGTTAAAATTTCTTTGATTCCTTTGATTTATAGTTCCTCAGTATGAAGATTTTTTTACGTAGTTTTCTTGTGTGGTTAGACAATATCATAAAAAATGAAGCAAACATTATCTACATAAAATATACAAGAAAAGTAAAATGTTATAATAAAAGAGCCATAAATAACACTCTATGTCGTCATGTTATATGCAACGAGAAAATATAGAACAGTTAGCATTGTTTCCAAGCAACGATATCAGCGATAGTGCTTCTGTCCATCGAAACTGTAACACTACATGCTTCTGTCGAATCGCAATCCGATACTCTGAAAGCGAATAGTGCCCTTTCGCTACATAGTGCCCTTTCTCTACTATAATTTCTTCGATAAATAGACTTGTCGCCTTTTCACAAGAGAAATGAATCACTTAAATTTTAACTAATTTATACAGAAACACAGAAATAATCTACATTCATATGTATGTTTATATAAATTAAAAATTCATATAGGTAACTTATAAAATTCATTTGATTATGTAAAAAATAATTATTTAAATATATAATCTATTCTAATCTTCTCTCTTTTCGTACGTATTATTTGTTCTGTTTCATTTTGTTCTATCAACAAATCGTAGTATTAATGTGAGGTTGAAGTATGATTTCTCACGGGCATCACAATGTTGGTCGATAATCTTCGAATCTCTATCTGCTTATAACGGTGCAATTATCGTGTTTGAATGCACAATGCATCGTGTGGATTTTACGTACATATGTGTGTGTGAGTGTGTGTGTGTGTGTGTGTGTGGGGGGGGCTTTAATCGACCGATTTCGCGAGTGCAGGCAACGTCGGCCGGCGTCGGTCAAAGTTAGGAGCCGGTTAACCCACCTGACCGGGGGGCATTGCTGTTGCACTAGTGTGGTCGGTGTCTTTGACTCGCCCCCGAAACCGTAACCTGTCGGCGTAATCCCTAACCGTATACAAACATCATTCTCTTCCGTTAAGATTAGCAGTCATAAGAGCGAATACATACGTTTTTTCTCTTTTTCCTCTCTCCCTCGACCTCCCTCCCTCCCCCCCCCCTCTCACTCTCTCACTGTCTCTCTTTCTGACTAGTGTATCGCGTGTGTCCCGACCAGAACAGCACGTGTCGGTGTACACACACGAACGCGAGAGGACAGGGCCACGCGCTCGAAGCAACAACCTGTGTGCGACGTGAATATTAGATTTCACACTTCGTGAAGATGTCGCGCTATAATAGCACGTAATAGCGCATGCACGAAGAGGAGATAAAGCCTCGCTGAGCTAGTTCGCCAATTTTCATCGCGATGCGTTATTCCGAGATTACACTCGATCAAAATACATATGTAATTGTGATAGAAGTGGCTTTCGTGTTCGAGGTGGTATTGGATACAGTCATACATTTTAAGCCATCTGGAAATAAAATCTCTAATCTATATTTGATATTTTGTTTAAAGAAGGATGTATGCCAATTGTATGTACGTACTGCTAATGTTAAAGCTCTTTGCTCAAATCTCTAATTTGTAAAGGGTTGTTTTAAATGGATTTCATAATTGATTCAGAAACTATAACTTTACATCAGATTCGGAATGTCGGAATTTGATACAAAGATTTCCTTAACTAATCGAATTCTTTTTATTGATACGTAATTCTTACCGAATAATTTTATAAATTTAAATTCAACTGATTTTCTCGTTTTTCTAATCACTATTTTTTAAGGAATATCAAAGATTCACTTTAATACCTATGTACTATTAGGTTACAGATTTTATAGATAGACGTGGTTAAGTCAAGTTTTTCGAGTGAGCTGAAATCCTATTATCCTCGCGCTCGACGATCAACATGAGGCGCTGCTGGAATAAGGCGCGGTATCGAAGATACGCGAAGTTCAGCTAATTTTAGTTTAAAGCTACCATAAGCTCGACGACTGCACGTAGAGCCCTGTGTAATCTCGCTGTTAATCGGTTGCGTGTATTAAATCCAAACGCCGACTGGATTAAAGTTCTAACACGTACGAAGGACTGCCATGACTTGGTGCAATTCGCCGACGAAATAATGTCCAGCAAGTACGAAATAGCAGAAGCTAAAGGGTGGCACGTCAATCTTAGAAGAGTGTAACATATTGACTAGTATGAATACGAAATATCATCGAGTTTTTTGTGCAATAAAAGAAAAGTAAAAGGAATAAAATCTCTAATTCTGTTTAAATGAAGTAGTCTTTAAAATCAATAATATATAGACTATTTAAACAATTAAAAATATATATATTAAATAATGTTTCCTATAAAAGACATCCACGTTTCGCAGTAAGTATGGATATAAAATCTTTATATTAATAAATATAAAAATGTAATCAACACTCGTCTTTTATATTTATCGAAAAGTATACACGAATTTAAGTTAAACGGAGATTTTTTGTTTTTAAATTTGTAAGTACTATGTATGCGCCTATTATTTTCAATCTTTATTTTATATTGCTCAATATATCGTTTATTCCACTAAATTTTGTTTGTGGCGTTATCTTTCGAATAAAGTGAACAGCAAACTGAAATCGATATAACGCTGTCGGCATCTTCTCATTTTCGCCGATAGGAAATGCATACTGACTGCTAATATTACTACTGACTGCTGATATCTTAGATTCCTTATTTAAATATATAATATAAACAACAATTACATATATAATAGCCACAATTTATATAACTGCTACATAAATCTTAATTTTAATGTAAGAATAACATAAAATCACGTTTCCGATAGTATTTTCGTTTTTACCGACGAATGCTATGTATGTGAAACAATGTAAAGAACGTTGTTCCCATAAAATAATCAATTCTTGTTATTTATTGTTATTTTTTCGATTATAAAATAATTTATGTATTTTATTATCGTAATATTTTAAAGATATAATTGTATTGTTGAATTTTCGTTAGTATTGTAAAACATTTTGTTTAAATTCTATTCACTAGTTAGCAATATTGCTATCAACAAAATAATACAGAGCACCATATGTAAAAGATGGAAAAATAAATTGCGTAATTATATTGTCGATAAAATTCATTTCTCAATTTCTTGCTTCAAACTATATATACTCAGCAACATTCTTCTATTTGTTTAAAAAATTGCATATATGCAATTAGTGCGTAATAGTCATCCTGTGAGGTAATAACGAAGAGAGAGAGAGAGAGGAGGTAAAAGGAAAGGAAAAAATGTAAATTGCACGTTTTCTCCTGTGGTTTCCGCGAATGATTTTATCACTTTTATAATTACATAATTACGACGTAGTAGTATAGTAAATAACTCAAGAGTTATTTACTTTACATATATAATGTAATAACTTATGGATGATTATGTATATAAGTACATATTTTTTATCTTTTACGACGCAATCTATATAATTATTCCTTAATAATATAATAAAGTATAATAATTTCAACAGACTTATTTTGGATTATTTATTCATTTATTAATAAATCTTCCAAAATGATTGATTAATCATTCTATGTTAATTTCAATAAGATGTTAAAAATTATATAACCAGTAGTATGTATTAACTCTCCATTTTCATATAACTTGTATCCTTTCAGAGACTTCCATTTAGATTTCCTTCTTTATTAATGTGATGCATATGCACAATGATATAATCGTGACGTGGTTATCCATACAATTTTCAAAAAGTTTCTTACTTTCTTTTTTCAATAAAATTTTAAATATTGGAAATGTGCTTTAATCTTCTGTGATTTCATTAGTAAAAACATTCGTGCAATTTATATGCAATGCATTATCCAGATATAATGGTGACGATAGCCAAATGTATTTTAAATGTTATTGTCAGCAAAGTATTACATCTTAGATCCCGATTTTCTTCTTTTTACTTGACATCAGGCACTTGCGACAATCTCTTCAGGATGACATCAGGGATTCGCTTTTCCGCCAGATTCGCCGTTCCGGGAAGTCGTTGAGATACTTGAGATCTCTCCGCCAGATTATTCCTCGCCGGCAGATTATTCGTCCCCGTGTCGTATAAGCGAGATATTGGAAGTGCCTTTTCGTTTAGATTGTTAGTACCGTAAAACCGCAGCTCACTGTCGACCACTTCCGCGTTACTGTCCAGATGAGGATCATGACTCACATGGGGTTCATGTGGAGCCGCCAATGCCCCGTAAACGCCAAGGAATAGTACCAGAAACTGCATCAAAAGCATTTGAATGCAACGCAGTTGCATCAGTGCGTGTGCGCTTATACGAGATTTTCATTTACGCACAGAAACCAATTGCTTTCAGTTATCAATCAAAATAGATAAATATTCCAGAATTGCTTGATTTTAACTGCAAATTTGTTGAATGTAGAAATAATTCATTATGTAAATTTTAAAATTTCAATACTTTCTGAACTGTAATTAATAAAGAAATGCTCTCAGCAATTTTTAACGTCTAGATTGGAATTAATTAACAAAAGTATGTATTCATTTAAATTACATAAACTTGAGTTTAAAAAATCTTAATTTAAAATTAAAAAATTAACTAATTAAAATACTTAATATTTAATATTCAAAATTTAAGTTAAAAATTATATTTCTTTATTAAGCGATCTTAATTTCTACAAGCGATATTGTAATATTCGCAAAATGTCTAGATTTGAAAATTGTTTAGACTATCCTCGCTTAGTCGGTATTTCGCATCTCGCGAAAAAAACGCGAAGTTCCATAAAAAAAAAAATCACGCACGTGAAATTTATTTTTTTTTTTAACGCGGCATAAACGGGATTTACGCGAAATTAACTCAAAGTCACTGGAGGGATCTATGCGAAAATAAATGCCTTGCTCGGCAATGCAGCCGCGAATTTATGACTTTTTATTGCGTCGCGCAAATACATGGAACTGGGCGATTTCACGAGCAGTGCGGTGGAAATCACGTGGAGATTGAATTCGTCGGGGAATCCCGTGAAAATTTAAAGCGGACGACGACGATTTGACACGACACTCGCAGGTAGATAGATAGAAATACGTGTGGGAGAATCTCCCACACACCCCCTCGCTATTTCATATAGACACGATCTCGGGCTCCACTTCACTTGACCCAAATCGCGACCAGGTTAAAAGATAACCCACTTTCTCGCGATTGACTAGAAATTCTTCAAACGAGACAAAGTTATTTTCGTATTGGATAAAAAAGATTTTTTCTCATTACCGATCGCGAGGACAGATCGTCGAAACAAGGTATTTGCGTCATAGAAAAATCATTTGCTAATTTTAACAATGGAATCATTTCACACATAAAAACTTTTCTACTGTCTTTACAATTATATTTACAATTTAATACGGTCCCTTATCCAAAAATATATCTTTTCTGTATTTATATCCATAATATAATGAAATCGTGAATAAAATTGTATTTTATTTTGGTTTTAAGTTAAATTTCCTTAAAAGTTAAAACAAAGATTAAAATGCGTTTGAGAGAATCTAATTTTTTAGAATTTCTTAAATTTATATTCAATTTATATATCTTCAATAATTAAATGCTAAAATTAATTAACGATGTAATACGTTCCGCGAAAAATGTACATTTCAATAACATTTTAATATTACATTAAATAATTTTATCTACATTTCTTTCAGTCATCACCAGCTACGCGTTTTTTTGTAACACAACCATTTCCAAGAATATTCCAACATTATTAATTATTGACGACCTGTTCGTACATCGTCAATCTTTACGAGTAACTTTGCCTTTGCCTTCAGTGATAGATTTATAATTAAATTTGGTTAAAATTAGGCGATCGGCAAACTCCCGCCTACACAATCACGCTAACCATTCACGCAATTTTAGCCACGAAATCCAATTATAAATCTTGTTACTAATAGTGAAGCAAAATTAACTAAGGACCAGAAAATTTTGATTTTATCTTCTCAAGAATATTTTGTTTGACAATTAAAAATAGGACCAATTTAAATAAAGGAGTAAATGTATAAATTGTCATAAATTTACGTCTATAAACGTTTTAGGCACCAATTGGCTTTTCACTTTTCGTTATGACTTGATATCAAAAGACGTTTATTTTTTTCAAAAATTTCATTTATTAAGAATTTAAGGGATATCTGTAATACCCTTATGTAAGAAAAACTTATTAATAACTTCGAAATGTAGTAACGAATCGCTCATAACAGCTGAGTCATCTCAAAAAAAGTTAAAAGCCATTTAGCACTAAAAGTCGACTCTACCACTCTAATCAGATTAATCGTTTAATCAATATGGACTTTTACACTTGTCACTTTTTACATTTTGAATTTTGCACGATTCCCATTACGTAAATCCCCTAACTTCGTCAAATCTCACATTTCGATTCGAGGAAAGTTAACACGATTGGGATTTTGACGAGGAAATTTCACTTGGGAGAATAACATGGCTAACCACATGGTTGACACATGAATTCGACGTCACTCGCGGAAAACACGTGTGGACGCATTTTCTTTTTTTATATTACTTTTCACGGAATTTCTGATTCCCTCTTACCTCGATCATGTTCGCTCGATGCGCAGCACCTAACTATCCGCGAGACTGGCCCGATGACACTTTTATATAAGTATACGTGTGCCTGCGTGTGGGCACCGGTCTTACCGCGCGTGGTGAATCGACGTTTTATTTTTGTGAGTCAAACGAACATGATCCCCTGGAGGCAAGATTTCTTTCAGATTTATTTTTTCTTCTCTTTCTGCTAAAGTTATTACTCTCAACAGCCGTCAACCTCCGCTTACATCCGCAATGGCGTAGACATGACTCTTTCAGAACTTTTTTATTAATGCAGAAAAATGATTATGAAAAATATTGGAGAGTTTCGAGAAAATTCAAAAAATTATTTTCTCTTTACCTGACGTTATATGAAACTTATCTAATGTTTTTTAAATGTAACATTGACCATAATAGATCTTTTTGCATGTGTTAATGTTCCGAAAGATCGTGTATTTCTAGGTAGATTTATCACAATCAAATATCTAAAAACTGGTTTCATCGCTGAAATGATTAAACAATTGCAATTGCTATTATTACTTGCGGAGCTGTACACGATCTCTCGCGATGAGTTGTTTGTAAAATCAATCTGTAATTCCATGTTTTCGCGCGAGCAAAAATAAGCCGAGGTGTAGCGGCAACGATTTGGAAGACCTCGAATTTTCGGACAGAAATCGATGTTTCTCGGACATTGTTAACGTCTCGGCAATGTGATATATCACCTGTCTTCGAAAATACATTGTTCCGACATGTGCAATAAAACATATGCACGGATTATAAATATAAATCCATGGATTATACAATTAATTATTACACTAGCAGCGCAATAATAATCTGAATATATAATCTCTCATATAGATTAATATACATATAATTACTACTTAATTGCTATGCGAATCAGCTTGGTTAACGCAATTATTATAAAAAAGTCAGACTGCTTCCTCTGAGCTAAATCGCTTTTGGCAAATTTGTGCAGTAAACACATGAAAATGACCTAGACAAAGTGTTTCTTCTCTCTTTTATAAATTCATTAATTATATATAAAATAGACTAAAATGTATATAAAATCCCTGATATCTTCAAATTATTTCCGAAGTTTTATTTCCGCAAATTATCTAAATAATAATTATCAATAGCGTTAAATTGACGTATCCGCAATTACTGTTCTGCGGAAAAATATAAAATCAAAGAAAAAAGAAATTTTTTTTTTCGTTTTCTGTGTGGAACGGAATAAAAATTCCAACATTCATCGTTAACGTCGTTTGAAGTTTTAAACTTATTAATTGCTATCGTTAATAATCATTTTTCAAGATCACATGAAAAGGCAATTTTGCAAAATCGATGAAATCGCACTGATTGATACCAATTGGCGCGCCGACAATTCCGCGTATATAAATATTATCTTAAAAGATGAGAGTGAGTTTTGTAGTGTTCTAAAACATTTATTTATTGAAAATTGTCAGATGGGTTTTGCCCAACAGTCAATTTACGCATATCATGATTTGAAAAAAATATTGTCTGGCCATCCAAAATTGCTATACTGTTTTATTTCTATACTATGTTTATTTCAAAATTTTATAATATCAGATATCCTACAAAATGTTCAATGATCAGTCCTGAAGGGAGGAAGGGAGAGTATCTTCTTTAAAAATGCCATACTTCATAAGAACTATTTTTACAGTGACACAATTAATTCACAGCCCCAATCTTCGATTATACGTACTGAATAATTCATGCCACCCTGGATTTCAACTGTCTGCTTACTTTCATTTTGCGAAAAACAAGATGAATATTGTTCGTAAAATCGAGATACGTCTATTAATGCCTCGATCCCATCGGGCCAGTGCCTCTAACGTATATAGGACATTAGTAATTAAAGGAAAAAGGAAAACGTCCCATTGGAGCGTAACGACCGATTTTATCCGTCTTCGAAAATAAACGCTGTTACATAGCCGAGAAAATTAGCTCTGCTTCATAAAAGGTGTCAGCTTCTTCTACTTGATTTCCCTCGATATTTAAAACGGATGAAGCTATATCGCAGTGAATGACGCTACGGCCGACGTGACGGGGGAGTACACTTGTGACATCACTTGCAATCAAGTGATCTCATCGAGGGTCGTGTGACGTCACGAAGCCCTATTCCACTCGATCGACCAGATGTTACGGCCGTGTAAAGTCCATGCGCCGGCATGATGACGTCATTGAATTCTATTCCGTCCCGCTACGAGAGTACGCTCGATAATCCGGTTTTTCTGACGCGATTCTTCTCCAAGCCTACGCGTGCCTATCTCGATAGGATGCCACGTCGTTATAACGGCAACGTAAGAAAATCACATTGTAAAGAAGAAATTGCGACGTAAAAACTGGAATCGTGACGCAAATGAGATATCGAATCTTTAATTTGCTCGTTCTACATTTTATAATATGCGACGATACATTAAAATTAAGAGATGCCTTTAATAAGTTTAAACTTTCTCAAATGAGAAATTACATTAATGTGTAACTATTTGTGTAATAAAAATTATTTATTATTAAAGACAAAATAGTTTTTAATAGGATTAGTATTATTATAGATAGATAGATAGATATTAGATAATCATACATTGCATAATGATAATATAAGCTACAATTTAAAATGATTGTACATAAGCTTTTTGAAAAGCATATAGGTATACGTTAGCATAAAAGTTACAAAGATTGTCTCTGTATATTCTAGAGACAACGTTTCTTGTTATTTACATGTATGTCGAACACATACAGAGGAAAAATCCCTACCGATCCCTGGCAAGGATTTCTGAGAAGGTTAAAATCTATATAAACACAATTCACATAGTTCTGAGGTGTCTTTCCTCGACGGTACACGTGTTCCTCCTCGGAATTAATACGTCTCCGCATTATTATTTAAATATCTTATAAACGTGCGTTATTTCAATTATTTTTAGTATTTTAGTAGAAAACTGAAATAGCTAAAAACAGCATATCCACATCGTTCAAATAAGTTGCAAGAAAATAAATCTCGGAACAAAGAAGAATTTTGATGCAAGTAAGTTATATAATGTGTGATTTTCACTTCTCTCAATATTAAATAAAATTGTAAAAATATAATATTAAAATATATATGTCGTATTGATACTTAGAATATTTCTTAATAGGCGATTATATCAAATATCGATTATGAGTCGTAATACGAAAAATCGTAACGGTAACATACGAAGATCAGCATTGTCGTTCGCCGGTGGGGACGGTTCGCTCGACGTTGACCATGTTTTAGAATCCGATCCTTGGAAAGATATTGAAAAGTTTGAAACAAGCGAAGTCGCTCGTATTCAAAATGTGCTGAAAGATTTCGGTGATATGATTGCACAAGAGAAGACTCTTAAAGTTAAAGGTAAGAGCCAGATTTCATAAAAACTCATTATTATTTCAAAAAATTCGTTTCATTTCATTAAATCATTTTTCACTTTGTCACTATTAACTATTTTAAACCAATTTTCTCAATAGAATTAAATTAAAATAAATAAAAAATAATAAAATAAAATAAATTTAATAAAATGAACAACTGTACAGATCATACCACTGCGAAGAATAAAGCAAGTCCAAGATCCGCGAAAAAATCTCCACTGAAGGATTCAACAATGAATTTACCTGGGACTTCATCAAGTACGAATAGCGAAAACGTCGTAGAAACACAAGCTACTGTAAGTGAAAAGAAAAGAGCTCCAAGAAAGCCTCGACAAACTCGCAAAAAGGATAAGAAAATGATGCCGCAAGAACTTCTACCTGATATCGATAATGCAAAAGAAGAAAGCCAAAAATCTCCACTGAAGGATTCAACAATGAATTTACCTGGAACTTCATCAAGTACGAATAGCGAAAACATCGTAGAAACTACAGTAAATAAAAAAAAAAGAGCTCCAAGGAAGCCTCGACAAACTTCCAAGAAGGTTGAGGAAATGATTCCAAGTTTGCAAGAACTCTCACTTGATATCGATAATGCAGAAGAAGAAATCCAAAAATTTTCAAACAACAGTGCCAAGAAGAATGTCAATTCAATCAATAAAATATTAGAATATAGAAGCCTACAAGATATAACGAACATCAACGAAACTGGACTTGTGCAAACGAGCACTCCTAAAAGAGAAATACCAATAAAAAAAACGATAAAAAAGACGGCGAAAAGGGAAGAATTAACGGCAGAAAATAAAAGATCGAAAACAAAAAATTCTGAAAATAAATCAGAGAAAAATGTTCAACATAAAAAACAGAAATTGAAGAGGAACACAAAAGACAAAGAAGGTGAAAGTAAATAAAACATCGATTATATTTTTCAATTTTTACGTACCTACATATTTTATAGGACAGTTACTCTTAAAAATGATAATAAAAATACAATATTATTTTTCAGGTAGCGCAAATATACTTGGAGAACAGGAAAAGACGAATGTGAAATCGGAAAATAATTTGAAATGTAATAAAGTGAATCAAAATTTGTCGAAAAATAAAGTAGAAGATAAAAAAGTGGAAAGTAAGATTAAAATATATATTATATATTTTTTCTACAATAATAATGTTTCAATAATGATTTTATTAATAATAAATTTTCCTTAGACTGCTCAACATTTCTTAGCGAAATAGAGAAGAAATGTGAAGAAGTCGAAGTCAATAATAATATAAAGAAGATTAACAAATCTAAAGAATACAGTAAGATACTAAAAAAGAATATAGATTTTTACAAAGAAATTAATCCTCTATACTCATTTAAATAAGTGCATATATTTTTCAGACAAAAGCATGCCTAATCAATTGAAAAAGAAGAAACTAAAAGAAGAAAATTCCGAGAAAAAAGTGAAAAAAAGTGACCAGTCACGTAAATCTCTTAAGCGGATAAGTAATACGGAGAAGACAAAATGTCAACACGGAAGTAAGAGAAACATCTAAAATATTTCTATATACATATAATCAGTTTAAACAAATATCAATTTTCACTCAATTTATATCGATTGATAATTACTTTCCAGAATGTTGCGCAAAAAAATCCGATAATCAGTGTTCGAGAGGAAAAAAGCAAGTCGAAAATGAAAAACAATATAAGAAGAATATAAAAGCTGCGAGAGCTATCGAAGATCTTAGCCGACGTATAACCGTTGTCAAGAAAAAGATGGATTGTATTAAAAATGATTTAGGTAAAATCTTTTATATCTTTCAATTCTCCGTTCTATTTTTATATGCCAAAACTGAATTCCAATTCCTCGTCAATTTGCTTTATGCCGACTGTTAATTTCAAAGAATTTTTTATGTTTTCAAGAAATTTTGTCATGACGTTAAATATTACGAGAATTAATCCCCGTCGTCACGCTTAAGACAAAATTCACTTCTCCTATTGGACAGTTTGATAAATTCTTCTGAGAATTCACGCGCGAGAGTCACGTAACCGTGTCCTAAATACGATATTTCCGGAACTGATCTCTTGTTTCTTTTTTTTTCTTTCTTCCAGAGAGCAACGAGTTATTAAATAGCAGTTTCGATGAAGAGTCATCGTATTCGTCGCAATCGTCATATTCGACGTATTCAAGTTCGTCCTCCGATTCCCGTTCATACACGAGCTGTAGCTGTTCAAATTGTTCATGTGATGAGAGTGATTGCACCTCAAGCGATTTTTCTAGCGGAAGCGAAAGTGAGAGTACAAGCGAAGGAGAAGACTCACGTTGAAGCGAATTGGAAACGATATTGGAATGTTAAACGGAATTATACAAAATTGAAATGCACAAGAAGTCAAAACTATATTTTTGTTTATTATAATTATAGTTAAGAAATTTATTTACGTACATTTTATTTTTTACTTAATTTTATTTCTTTGTCATTATATAGTAGTTCATTATAATTGTATACTTTTCCAATTAGCATTAATTGCTTCTGAAATTGCTTAAGTTTATAAAATTTATTTCTCGAATGATTTTTAATGATATTATCAAATAGCAAAATAATATTTTATAATATTTTATATTTTATTTTGCTATTTGATCATATCGTTAAAAATTTAATTCGAGAAATAAATTTTGTATGCTTAAGCAATTTGAAAAGAAATTAATGCTAATATTTAAATGTTACTTTAATTAGATTAATTTAATTAATTCGGCGCGATTAATTGAGAGGAATTATATAATGTTTAAAATAAATTATAAGCAATGTAATTGTAAAGAATTTTATGAACTAATAAAGAAGACTAAGCAAAGAAATTTTAAAATACACATTGGAATACAATTTTTAGCGAATAATGATACGGATTTTCATGAATGTAAAAGCCGTTTTGATAGTCAAATCATATTATCGTTGAATACTAATGGGATAAAATCTTATCCCAATATTTTGCGCTTTTTATTTTATAACACGAATTATAAACATAGGACGTCATAGGATATCATACGATCTATATCTCTGTTTTCAATATACCGATTTCCTTTTTAAACATGTGATCTAATATACTTCTAATTTTGTTAGCGATTTGTATATATATTCGATCTAATATGTTATTAATTCTACTAATATTTCAAATTTCGCTTCCAAATTTCTCAGATACATCTTATCACGTGGAACATGAACATAAATTTGCGGCCATCCCTGATGTATAAACGACAAATGACCCTTAGGTAGAAGATGCACGTGCAGCGTGCAGTGCCTTCGATCGGGTGCATTAAAATAATGCGTACATCGCGACTCTTAAATTAGTCGTCTTACCCTCTTTACCCGTGTTGCTATTATTCGCAGCGTTTCGGCACCTGCTCCATGCGCACTGCCGTGATTTTTCTTAACGTTCTAACTGAAAACAGAGAAGACTAAAAATAGGCGGTTTGACGCACGTTGCCGGTGTTAAGGTAAGTAAGCAACATGAACCGTATGTTTGCTCTTTTCCCTCGGACGATAATCTCCTGGCGCCAATACGCCGTTTGTCGTTCCCGCAAATGAGAAACAGCTACTGCAATAATAAGGAAATATCGAGTCCTGCGCAAGTTTATCTGAATCATGCAGAACAGGACAAAAAGGAGTCTTCTTAAAAATGGATCATTAAGATTATCAGTGGATACTGACTTTAAAACTAAAATACTACGTACATGAAAGTGAAAGAAATCGGAATTATTAAAAATAAATAAAATATTTTCCCATTTTCTATATCTTTGCAGAAAGAGAATAAAAATCTTTCCTATTATTTATTACTTTTCTGAAATAATCTAATAAAGGAATAGTCTAATAACTGGTTGTTAAAGCTACGATTAAACTTGTCGACAAATAATTGGAAAGATAAATAATTTGAGGAAAGCAACAAGGAAAATCCAAGTTGCTAGAAAGAGAAGATACCTCAACATCAGCGTACAATAATTTCGCGGAATCGCTTTCTTTTTTTTTAATAGTGACGCGCTACGTATACGTATATTATGTATTTTTGTTTATTGCAGCTGCAATGATTAATGCGCTTGGAAATAACGGCAAAAACAAAGGCGTCCTTAGATATCCATTAAACCAAGCCAAAGTTAAATCAACTCTTCGAGTTGGCGGAATCTGCAAAATATCTCAGAATCTCATTGTTACGAAATCTCTTAGAAGTTGCGAAGTGAAGATACAAAGAAGTTAATCTGAAAATTTCACCAAAATTCAACGACAGAAATCATAATATACTTGGTAAAAACGTTTAAAAAAGCAGAAAAATTCTTCATTAGATATATTAAACTAGATATAATCAATTTATATGTATATCATAAATTTCGTCATAATTTTATTTAAGAGAAATCAAGTCAAATTCAGCTAGAAAATACTAAAAGCGAGAAAATACATGAGAAAATATAAAGGAATAAGGGAGATCTCAATATCTGAAAATGCGCCATAGTTTGCGATAAAGATCTCGCGGTTCTCCAATATAGATGTTTCGTCAACCACGTTCCGCGAAACCGTCGCGTCGACTCGATAATTATATACCTACTCCCGATTCGTGACAACTCCGCGTGAGCTCTCCTCTTCTTGCGCGTCCCTTTTTACTCATAAATTGCACCATTACTGTGTGCGTACGCGAGACTGAATCGCTCTCATCTCGCGGATCCATATGTGGGCGAGATCGATATGTGTATCTATGTATTTGCCTTCGCGTAGGTGGATCACGTTCACAGACGTATGTCGGAGGTAAATCCTCTTCGACACAAGTCCTGCCTTATATATCCTTTTCTCCTCCTCTTTCTTTCCCTCTCGCTAGTTTTATTTTCCTTTTTTTCCAGCCTCTGTTCCCGATTCGCTTTTCAGTCAATACTGTGCACTCTATTCGAAGAACCCCTCGAGATACGTCCACCTTAATGGCGGTGTCTCGTGTACTTTGTTTACTCAACGTTGACATAAAATATACCTTTACCGGGAATAGCTTAAGTTGGATTTAGTGAGATGTATAAAGCTGAGATGTATAAAGGATGTGAATTATTTTAATACCCTTTTTCCCGTGAACTTCCAAGTATCGTTAGATGACGAAAGTTCACACACGCGAAAGAATGATCGTGCAAGAAGCCATCCGGCAAATGATAAATGTTCTCAAAGTTCAGTGGCTGCTTGGCAAGCGTCACGAGACTAGTGCTGCACGATTAGTCAGTTGCTTCACAAAATAGATAATAGTCGCATCCGCGAAGATCTAATTATAGTTAGAAACGGATTACCGCGAAGCAAGATTTAACAAAGTTCCATCATACATTTATAGGCTGTTTTTGTCAATAAGTCAATTTTGTTAAATCAATATACATATATATGGTTATCACGAAATTTCCATGTCTATAAATCAACCCTGTTGTTCCACTTGCTGTCTCAGCAAGGGACACATTATAAGATACATATACACGTAAACACGAGTTCGATGACGCCAACATATTCCTGTGCACCCTAGATTCTCTCCGTTTCTCGAAATTTGCCGACGTCAAGATCTTTCGCGTAATTTACGAATTAGGGAATATGCGAGCCTATTCATCGTCATGTGATTACACAATAACTTGCACTTACACTTACTTCCCTCGCACGACCGTTTTTCTTATTTATATCTCTTTAATATCCGGCTGTACACAGTCGAACATCTCTATGGGCTCTCCGTATACTTGACATACATTTTAAAAATACTTTCAGGTGTAAATTCGGATTCGTGACGAACGCGTAATCTGTATTATTTAACAACGTCTGTGACGGTGAATTTAAGAAAGTAATATCGATTAAAACGTATCCGCAAGAGTACGAATCCAAGCAGAACAACAAGTCATCATGAATCATCAAAATAATTATTAAAAGTTATATCGATAAGTTATGATTCAGTTATGATTCATTTTAACGTCATTTTGACGATAATGTGACCTGCTGTTCTGCTTGGGTATAAATTTGTAATAAATTCGGGATATTTCACAATCCTTTACATTCAAATCATTTCCGATTATAGATAGCAATAATTAAAACTTTTTAAAACAACAACGCGTACAAGAGAATATAAAAGTAATAATAAATTACAAAGGTGAAGTTGATCATTACAGTGTCACGTGACGATCCTCTCTTATTTGGCTTTATATTCATGGAAGCTGGAATATTAAACTGACGGCGGAAAGTCAATAAATTCACTTTAAGTCGGTTCGTGTCAATAATCCATTCGTGCAGGTACAAAAATATACTTTGCGCGAATTCGACTGGTATACCAAAATGGCTTTATGCAAAGCAAAATTCACAGCCAGGCAGACAATAAGGAGCAACTTGAAAGAATAAAAGATGGATATTATTTATTCTCCTTCGTCCCTGTACGTCAATAAGAAAAAAAATGTTATAGGTCGCAACTTCTATATAAGGCTTCGCTTATCATTTTGCGCGCATCGCTTTAGCTCGCAGGAATTCTTGATACTCGTGAATAGTTATCGAGTCCTTGCTCCTAAATCTCGAGAATGCGTTATTATCGAACACGTGCGAGCAATGTATTCGGTCACGGAAAATTAACGGGAGCGATTTAATCATAAACAAAATAAAAAAGAACTCCCACTATAGTGCATACAATTAATATTTACTATTCTCCTGCGATTAGCATAAATCGACAATTTGATCGCGGCAAGATAGAATTTTTTTTTTATCCGAATGCGAATATGGCAATTCGTGACTAAGGATAGCGCACAATCGATCAACGGCCGGCACGTGGAAGAATTCTGCGGTGTATCCCGTCCCAGGTAACTTCCTCTATTTATCGAAGTGTCCGCCTCATCGTAAAACGACGCGACTCGTCGATTCGCATAATGCGCTCGTTAAAAAAAGCTGCCGTCGCGCGACACGGCGTTACGCTCGTCCTACAACCGACGTCGTCGTGTGTCCCGCACCCTTTTACAAACTACGTCTGCGCGCCCGCCGACCGGGGTCTATAAAAGCGACGCGGAGCGTCACGACGCTCCAGACGTTTGAGACACGCGCAGCACGGAAAATGTGACCGAACGGTCGTCGTATCGTCGTACCTCGCCACCGGAGTCTCTATTTCTGTGCCCGTCTCCCAAGTGACACCACCTGCTCCGAGAGCGAAATTGTCAGAGGACACGGTTGACATAATTCCTACTACGCGCGCTGATTCGGCATTTGTGACACTTATGAGCAGACGACACACGCGCGTGTCAGGACTCATCGCGATATGAAGATGTAAACGAGGACACGTTAATCGGAATTTAGTCGAGCAAGAGTGATTTACACGCGCATTTATCGATATATGCATACGTTGAACACCTGCAGTGTACCAGAGTGAAGTGACGTTTCTGTCGATTGTCAAGCGAATTTTATCGCCGTGGTACGTATCTGTTATCGTGTTATCACTTGTAACTGCGTAACTTTAATTTACACGGCTGTGCCGATACTTTAATTCTCAGCAAAAACTGTTGGGTCTTATAGAGAAATCTTATATACTTAATTTAAAAATTGTTAATATTGAAATTAGTTTTTTTTTATATAAAAGGATATCGAAAGACTCTACACTTGCTGAGAGTTGAAGTTATATTATAAAAATTATGTTTTCGAAAATTATGCTATACTTGACGATGTTTGTGAATTGTTATTAAAACGTATCGCAATAAAAAAAATAACAAATGCAAAAAAAATATAATGAATTATCAACAAACCATGAGAAATTATTATTATAATTGATTATAGCACTATATTTTTACAAACGTTTAATTTGTTAAAGACTTAATATAGACGATCGCCGGCGACACTTGTGGCGCGTATGAGTTGATTTCTATATACGTGTCGACCAAATTGCTTCATTAAATACACGGTATGCACGCACGCACGCACGCACGCACGCACGCACACCAAAGTATAACGCCGCTAAGTCGCGTGTATTAAAATAGAGTGCCCAGTAAACATAAATGCTAAATATATACCTGCGCCTCTGAGACTTGTCAGAATTAACCGGTCGGAACCGGTGGTATTGTGAAAAAATAACCGTGACACACAACAATGAACAGAAAATAGAAAAACGAGAGACAGCGTTATCTACAATTTGTTAAAATTAAAGTCATTATGACATACGACATTTGAACCTATAAATAGCGACATTTACAATGCTCACACAGCAACTACACATACACCTACGAGGCGAGGACACGTAATTCGCGTATCTCGTAAATAATTAAAATGAGAGAAAGCTTTCGATATGAATCTTCATCGCGTACCCAATATGATATATCGCGTTATTAAAATATACACGACCACGCCACCCACGAAGTCTGTCGCGTCATACTGCATTCATTTCGTCATATAACGACATTTACGTTGTGTCTCAGATCTCCAGAAATTTATGGAACGACCCGAAGTAGATAAATGTTCATTCATTAAACGAACGATGTTTGTTTTCGTGAAATTGTAGATGTCTCTTAATGATCTGCGTGTTGCAGCTTGACAACAAACGCAATCTTTCGAAATTATTAAGAATATATAACTTAGCTCGTTAACCCTTAAATCTTTTCTAAAAATCAGGATGTACACTTTCATTATCAGATTGTTTCGTATCAGATCAAATAAATAATAATATATTATAAAACGAATCTTAATAATAAATAATATGAATATATCAAAATTTCACAAATATTAATTTCTGTATTTTTAAAAACTTGAACTGATTATATGTGTTGAATGGCGTAAAAAAAGAATTAACAATTTATTATATTTTCAGTCTATTTCTGTCCATCTAGCTTTAAAAAAAAAATTCATTTAAATTATATTTTAATGTAAACTAAATATATAACATTTTGAATTATCCTCAACTCGCCCAAAATAAAGAAAACTCTATCGATCTGCCATTTATATATACATCTTTTACCATTCGCGTACAATTTTGTAACACATTCGATTCTGCCTTATTTCTCGTTATAATAGCGATAAATTGGGTGAAAAATCGACAAGTACGTGACACGATGTCGCGAAAACAAAATTCGCGTGCAAGCTTGGAAAGTTTTGGGATTCGGCGCCGACCAGACTCGCGCGCCGTCGACCAAAGCGTGAACGGTTCTCGCTATTGATCTAGCGAGGGTCTAAATGTCCTGGGTTCACCCGGCCACCCTCCGGCCCGAGTCTCTCAGGCTTTCCGCTGTACCGCGAGAGTGCAGCTCTTTTCAACGGAAACGGGAGAGGAAAAGCATCATAGTGGTGCGCGCGAAAGAAACGAGAATCGCGCTATCTCCAGTGGCGATGTTCCAAAAACTCCTCCTGCCGCTCTACCAACAAAATTATCTATTCTCGAGACGCGTGATCGTAAAATCGAGGGAGAACATAACACACGATTTCATTTACGAGATAGTAAATGCAGCACGGCGTTTTTGATGACGCACGTGCGAGATCACGCGGCGAACGTGGCTGGAAGAGAAACGGTGCCCAAAACCGCAAGGAGTATCGTTAGATAGATCAATGTCTGCTTAAAATTGCCGTTATGCAACAACAACAGATGGATTCCGATAAGCTCTAGTTTGCGCACTTTACCGGCGAAAATACACGATTTCGTGATATATATGTTGTATAAAGTTCTCAGTACATTGCTTTCAACTGTAGATTCCTTGAATCCATTTGTAATCGCATTTTCTATGTCAAAATTTAAATCGCACATCAGCTTTTCTCATAAAGTTCAGACAGAGAGGCATGCAATTTTAGATATTAACTTTAAAATAACAATTATATAGAATAAATTTACTTTATATTAAAAACATAAGAATTTAGTATAATTTTTTTTCTATTAAAATATTACCAGTAAAAATAATCAGATTTTTGAAGGCTCATAAATTTTCTTTCTTTACAAAAAAAAAAAAAGATTTTGAGGAAAGATGTGTATTTTCACTTTAAGGAATGGTTACGTCATCGGGACAATCTTTCTTCAGACGGCTTCCACCTCGCGCGGCCCACAATATCGCACGTGTTCGCGATGTATCATATTCTAGAACCGCGATTGATCTACGCGTTGCTATTTATGAACTAGAACGCGCGTTGCACGATCGGGGAAGAAGTGTGAATATTATCTTTTTGCGGAAGGAAGCGTGGGAACGTTTCTGAATATGGTCGTACGTTTGTCGCGTTGACGATTGTAGGCGTTGTATATGCCTGGAATGCATTGTTCCCACGGGACGAAGATAATATTCCTTTGACAGAGAGTTATCCAAGTATGAAATCAATGTTGACGTCCTTCAATGTGGACAGATGAAATTCTAATTTCCGGTCTCGACGTGGAGGCGGTCTATACAAAACGAAAATGGCAAGGACAAATATGCCAGTCTCTGTTACGTCTCTATACAGGGATAAAAATAACAAGAACTAAAAAGACTGTTTTTCTGTTGCAATGACAACGAAAATAGATTACAATAAATTCAAATAATAATACAATAATATTAAAATATCTAAAAAAAAATCGCTTGCCATATATTTATGCTATCTCTCTACATTCAAAAATAGAAAAATTAATCCGTCTAAAATAACCTCGTATATTTTTTTTGTTTCAGATGAAGCTGCACGAGAAGAAAGAATCAGGCATCCACAAAATTCAAGAGGTGCCTCTTGAGGAACTGGAGTTATCGAAGGAATACAATGTGGAGAAGACTCTGGGTGAGGGTAGCTTCGCGAAGGTCCTTCTGGCAACGCACAGGGCGACCCAGACAAGGGTGGTCCTGAAAGCGGTTCATCAAGAACTCACGTCGGAGAAGGACTTCTTGCGAGAGTTTCATTATTCGTACCACCTAAGCCCGCACCCCAACATACTCTGCTCATACACAGTCGCCTTTAAGGCGGAGAAATGTTTCGTCTTCGCGCAGGAATACGCGCCCTACGGCGATCTCGCTGGCAACGTGAAAGCGGGCGGACTCAGCGAGGATGCCTGTAAGAGAATCGCTGGCCAGCTTGCCTCAGCCCTCGATTTCATCCACTCGAAACAGCTGGCCCATCGTGATATCAAGCTAGAGAACGTGCTAGTGTTCGCGCAGGACATGAGCAAGGTGAAGCTATGCGACTTCGGCTGCACAAAACGCGAGGGCGTCCTCGTGAATAAGATCCGTTGCACTTGGGTGCCGTTCCAACCTCCCGAGATTCACGAGATCATCAAGAACGAGAGGTACGCTTGCAAGAGGAGCTCGGACTGCTGGCAGTTTGGCATTGTCCTCTTCGTGTGTCTGACCGGCAACCCGCCGTGGCAGAGCGCCGATCCAATCCAAGATCCAGACTACTCGGCCTTCCAAAGATGGTTGAAGCGACGCACCACCAAGATCCCACCGACCTTCCGTCGCTTTACTCCCAGGTTACTGCGATATTTCAGGCGAGCATTCGAGCACAAGCCCGAGAAGAGGCCTCACGTGACCGAGATCAACAAGTACCTAAAGGACTCGTGGTGTGTCAGTAAGATCAGCCACAGTGCGACGTCGACGTCGGTCGATGTCAGCGAGAGCCTCGCCAGGCGAGGCGACAGCCTGCTCTATCTTGACACCATATTGGACGACAGGCACAACGTGGACGAGAACAAGAACAAGCTGAGAAAGTTGCTTAACAGTTACGGCCTGGAGACTACGGTGGACCAGAAGGTCGTCACCAAGAGGATATGGGAGTGGGTGATGCAATGCGACTCTAACATAGACACAGAGTCGGGTCTGATCGGCAGCTTCAGCACGGAGGACATGTGAGAGATAGTGAGAACTTCCAGCGAGCCGTGCCTTCGGGTCACCCAGGAGGAGCCAATTAAGTTCCGAATGGGCAGCTTTTACATGCCGACCTCGTACAGACGTGCCAAATAATCAGCTGGAGCTACCTAGCCGAGAGAGACACTTTCCGGAAAAACTCATTCGAAGAGTGTGCCGCGAAGAAAGCGGTACGCAATTCTGTTCCAGCGATGTTTCCAGAGTATCGAAACGCTAATCACAAGCGGACCAATTACTGACGAACTTCTTTAATGAGTAAGAATAAAGATTGCGGAAAAATTCGAGAGACAATGACATTTGTATTAATATTGGTGTTGAAAAAAATGATATAATTCGCAATTAATATTCCCAAAAAAGTTAATAATGCAAAAAATGTCATAAAGATGTTTAGACATTTCGGTCTCTCAAGTATTATCTCTATGTTTATTATGTTATTTTAAGAATTCGAACCAAAAGTGAGATGTCTCTTGATTATAAGATGCTCTAGCAATTAAGTATAAATGTGATATATAAATATCTAGAGAGAGAGAGAAAGAGAGAGAGAGAGAGAGAGAGAGAGAAAGTTTGCGATCGAAAGAATGTTGGTAAGCTGATAATTAGCTTGATGTACTAATATAGAGACTATAGAGACAATAATACCGGCATATGATTTTTGCGTTAGTCAGTCGTTCATTCGGTAAACCGATGGTCTTAGTGATGCCTTATGCGCAATTAAGCGCGAGGTTAAACAGTCATTTAAATATATTTTGTATATCATTCAAATCTGAAATTCGTTTCTGTTTATATTATATGTATATTTATTGTTAGTGTAATCGCGATTGTTAGGCAAAAAATAAGGAAACAAGAAGACTGTATAATCCAGGGATTCCTAGACTGGAGATCATAACTCCAAACGTAGCGTAGTTCGTGAAAATATTTTCGGAAACAATCCATTTTTATTCCAATAATAATTAATAATTGGAAAATGGGGAGAAAAATTAATTGCTACGTAAATTAAAAAAGATGTGTCGTTCTATCTTTCAAAATTTTTATCACAATAGGTATTCATATCGAGAAAACAAGCGCTGAAAACGTTTAAGAATCTAGCATAGCCGAATATAAGGGTCACAACGCGAGATCGGCGATTATCGGAAATATCGTTAACAACAAGATGTAAATCACACAAATGTAGATACATTTACATGGATTAGGTATGTATTCGCATTCGTGCTAGACATGTACATACATATATGTGTGTACGTATATATGTAGGCAAATATAGTACACATATATTCTTGTAGCAGTTTATGGTGTAGCGCATAGAGGTTCCGTTTGTACAATTAGTTACGCCATTTCGTAACGGTGATATAGGTACAGCGTAATATTGCATGCACGTTGCGATTCCAACGGTTATATAATAGACTTTCGTTAACGATCTCGCATTAAAACGCCCACAAGCCCCCGCGGATAACAACATGTGAAACGGGCTTTTAGCGACGACTCGGTTGCCAAGTTCATCGCTTGCTTCTTGCAATTGAGTATCTTAATCCACACGACTTAATTGATCAGAGTTATAATCAGAGATTTACATAATAATTCCGTTATAATTATATCAATTACAATCTACAAATAACGGAATCGATTTCTAGTCACACACTTGTGATCGTACGGTAAATCGGTCTGGACTGATTTGTATTTTATGAATATCCGAATTGCGCGAACGCAAAATTATAAGACTGAACTAGAAAAGCTCCAAAAGCTCCAAATTGAAGAAAAAGAGGGCGTCGGTTTATTTTTATTCGCTTCCGACGCACGTAATTTTCCGCGGATATAAAATTACCAATAAATAAATCGCAACGTGTGGGACTCGTGCACGATCTCTCCCCTAGGATCCCGCAAGTGGATCGTCATCTGAATGAGGTACACTCGTAAGAATCGGCGTAAAGAACGCGCTAATGATCGGAATCCATGCGAATTGCGTGTTTCTATATATTTGTACGTTGAATGTGGGAGTATATACGCGCGCGAGCATTACGACCCGCTCTACAATATTCGGACAATCATTATTATCTCACTGCTATTCTTCCGTATTGTCCGAATTGACTGAGTGATAATATAAAAGAGTGGAGGAGCTTTTGCAAGAAAGCCAGCGCGCATAGCCTCCATTAATACGAAGCAATGTTTTGTATATATTGAAATAAATCTTAAGATTGTATAAACTTGATATAAAAAGCATTATAATTTTTCCCCCATGACTCTTATTTTAATACATATATATAATCACGTGTTTTATTTATTATTCAATTAAAATCACTAATATAAAATAATTAATTTATATTATACAGTATATATCATTTACTGTTATTCATTATTACATTGTTACATTAACTCTGTATAAATTTGTCTATCAGATTAAGATTTTTTTTGTTGAGCCATAATTTTGTTGTTGCACTTTGATACCAAAAATAATCATTTACCTTGCCTATACGACACGTAAACTCATTATCTAGATTATGTCTTGTGTAACTTTTAACGAGAGTGCAAATTGAATTGTGCATCAGCGGATTAATTAGGGCGCGTCGTTCAGATTTTTCAACCTACGCGGTCTACATCCGACTATAGTGTAGAACGGGGTGGTTAGCCATGGCTCGGGTGTCGCTATGGCGACGAACCCTGGATACCCGGGCCAACTGAAAGCGACGCATCACCCTGCTTCTCGTTCCCCGGAATCACCCTATCGAAGCGAATAGATGCGCGATGTAACAGGCGCGATTGTTACAAACACGTATTTTTTTTTTGTGCCACGTCTCGTAGCCACCGTCGTAATAATTGACAGAAGGATGGACGGATATACAGATTTCTAAACCATGGAAATTACAAGTGATGTTACGCAACGTCGAGCAAATCGCGTTATGCACTTCGATATTTGCATCTGTGTCGAGAAACATAAGCATGCGCACCATTAGCAAGGTCATTAGTCAACTTTAATTATGTAGAAATCCTAACCAGCTCGACCTTGATGTCGGGGTAAGAGCACGCGAACACGGAATTTTCATTATTTTTCTTTGGAAGCGCACGCGAATAGTCGAGGCAAAGGTGAACTCGCAAGAGGCAGTCTAATTATTTCGCGAGTCTCGAGAAACACTTGAAACTTCTTCCAACGTAGAGAACGAGAAGCACATACTTTTAAGATTTTGTTCTTGAACAATATAATTCTGATTATATTTAATGAAATCTTCATATACACTTCATAGTTTTTTGAAATTAACATTTAATTCTAAAACTTTTTAATCTTTTTTCACTACTTAAATTATTTATATTTCTTGGAAATAAGTTATTAATTACATATAAATAATATATTTAAAATAAATAATAAATCAGTAATTCTGAAAATATAAAAAAATAAAAAACATTAAGCAATTAAAAATTAATTTTTTTTTTATAATTTGATGTTAATAGAATAATTTAAATCTTTAAAATATTTTGGGGATATTATTTCGTATAATATATTCTCTTCTCATTTATTTAACATATTATATTTTTAGATTTCTGAATGTATTACATTCTTAAATTTTTAAATTCTCTCCTTCATCATGACACTGATTTTATCTCGACATTATAAGAACATTGTCTTATCTTTAATTGATTCTATATCCAACTTGCCATCAAATACATCTGCACATTTGTCGTTCTTATGACGTTTGATGAGAGCACCTAAATGTCATTTACTCCATCTCAAGAGTGCCAAGATAAATTCATCGTCCGCGATGCAAAGCGTCCTGATATTGGTTGACACACGAGTACGTAATACTCCAAAGAATATTTTAAGACCCTTACTTATTTAATCTTTACTAAGCGACCCACAAGCTGTGACATATCCTCGGCCCACTTTCCCGTTTCTTCATTACACATATTATGTATTCCAATACATATTTCAATCCATATGTCTAAATACATGTAAGATTCGATGTGTAAACATATAACAAGTCCGTTATTGATATTAATCGAAATAGTTATGATAATTTAATATGAAGGAATGTGAAAAAACATAGGACAAATTTTTCATGTAATAATTTGCTCTCAAGAAAATCATTTTGTCAATAACAAGCTCAATATCCTTCTTTCTTTCCCAGTCTTTCTCTTTTTCTTCGTTTTTTTTTCCTTTTCCTTTTAATTCATGTTCTCGTTTTCTTCCTTTCTCCCTTTCTGCCTCTTTTCCTTTCCTCTCTCTTTTACTTCACTCTTCTTTAGTTTTTGATTTTTCTGGCAACACCGGGTGTTCGAGGCCATTAGTTACGCCACTGGTGTGCATGCATCAAACGAATGTCTCGACATGCACCCGCGTTCCATCATCTTCCTTCCGATGCGCGCGTATTTTGGACCGGCGTGCCGCTATTTCCATCCACGTGGCGAGTATTCTCGGCGGCTTGTTTTGATAAGCGCCGAACCGACTGGATACTTGACAGGACGTTATCTCCGCAAAGCGGACATCAAGTACATATACAGCGCGGAGATATGTTTAAACGCATCGTAACATAACAATACGCGATGAGAGATCGATTCAATCGATTGGTCCAACGCAAAAGTCAACAGCAAATGCACATGTAACATTTGCGAGCATCGTAAAAAACAATATTTCAGCAGCAATTTGATATTTGCTTATCACTTTATTATTATGCTTATTGATGTCTCATGAAATTAATGAACCAGAAATTCCTCAATTAAAAAATCTGTATTAAAAGTAGGGTGATGAAACAACATAATACTTTCATTTATTTCTATGTCTATAATATTTCAATAAAAAATTATGCGTAATGTTAGATTAGAATTTAGAAAAAGAGAATCCTGAATTCTTACTATCTTATATTACCTGAAGAAATTCCTTTATTCTTATTATAAAAACTTCGAAAAGAAGGTAAAGGAGGCAGTAGTTTTAAAAAATTCCTTTAACATTTAATATAATTAATTAATCAGTTTTCTTTGATTATAAAGAAAAATAATTTTAAATATTGTAAAAAAGTTTTAGAAGAAGACTGAGAAAAAATATTCAATAATAAGCAGATGTTGTTAAAAAATATAGAATGTAATATGTACAACTATTTGAAATAATTTTTTGTCTTTCTTATCATAGAGCAAAAATGTAATTGTAATCAAAGAGAACAGCAGCTATCAAAATGTTGTCTTTTCTCTCTCTCTCTCTCTCTCTCTCTCTCTCTCTCTCTCTATCTTTCATCTGCCATAAATCACAGAAGAATTTCGAGAACAAAATAAATTAAATCGTACACGTCAGAATACATCAGTAAAGGAAATATAGAATCGAGCAGCTGTAAAATTATACGTTTATGCGTTATACAAATGTAAAAAAAGTTATATATGGCCATTGTTTTAAATGCCAGAAAAAGATAAATTTATAGTCTCACGTATATATATACTGAGATATAAATGTACATCGGAGAGATAATGCAGGTTGATGTTGGGTGCCTTCTCTCACGCAGACGTGCTGTCTCGACCAAGTCGCGTAATGCGGTTACTTGACGAAAAATAAAGCCGGGCAAGTCGCCACCGGGGACGAGTATCGTCATCGATCCTCCGGTCCAACGCCCCGATGTCTATTTTCATACCGTCCAACCTATTTATATATCATCGTACGAACAACGTTCCACATGTATCGGTGCACGCTGTGATCGGTGCGCCGATTGCAGCAACACTCTAACATCTTAATCATTTTCGATCTAACAAATTGGCGAGAGAAATCTAAATTTTCGAGGATTGTCTATGTATAATTCCAAAGACAGATTTAAAAAAATTGGATTTTTATTATAAATCTATCTTGGAATATGCACAAAATCTCGACGTTTTCCAAAAATAATTGAATAAAAAGATGTTAATAAAAATTTATTCTATCTCTAGAATTGTGAATTTTAACACTGAGAAAAAAGGCTAGTAATAGCTATGTATTTTGTTTCGTGTATTGATGCAATATTTAATAAACATTATCAAACATAATAATAGCAATTAGCCGTTTTATAATAATTATTAAATATTAATATTTAATAAGTAAAATTAGCATTTAATTAATTTTGATTATATTAATTGTACATTTGAAACTATTTTACCAAAACTTCAGTAACTATTATCGAGGCTTCATTATTATTACCAGATTTTTTCTCAGTGAAGTTTTTCAAGTCAATTTCAAGTCTTTGAAGTTGGAGACTTCTTTCTACTCATTAAATTCTTTTCTATCTTTTTTATTTTTCTATCTATTTACTTTTATTTCTATAGTTGGGTAAAAGTATATACTATTAATTATTTTTCAGCTACATTGAGCCTAATGGTAATAAAGTATCATCATGCGTGATAAATCAAAGAATTTTACAAGTAATATTTAAACGTTCAACCAGTCCGAGCTCAGAGAAATGAATTTTCTTCAATTCCCTTTAATTTTTCCATCTATTTCCACAAAGTTTCCATCAGTCCTTTCGACGCACTTATCTCTCAAGATCGGGACAACTAACTGATCGCGTGGGCGTGCGAATTTACGGCGGAACCACCCGAGGCATTTCGACGGTAGGGTTCTATGTTCGCTTTACGACGTTGCATGATTGCCCTCTGACGTCAACGAAAACGCTCCCCGGCGTTCACGTATACGATACGTGAGGAGAGCCTTGCGAGAAAGAGACAGGATTAAAGGTCGTTCGCCCCGTCATCGGGTTCAAGCGCCTTTCGCGGGGCGGATGCAACCTATAAAAATGCAGCGATGATAAGGACGAGGACGAGGATACCGCGCGATTGCGCGTTGGCACATGCGGGACATGTCTCGCTATTAGACAGACACGAACACACGTCGCGAGCAAAATCTCCCGTCTCGGATGCAAGAAGAAACTGGTTTTCTTAATTTGCGTCGTTAACCGGCCCGAATAAAAACATGCGACTTTTATTGCGACCCCTTAATCACGAGCCGATTTTAAATCCAAAAGCGTCAGGATAATTCGAACAAGTACGTTATTCTGAGGGATATTTTCGGAGTATCAGCGACATAGACGCACACATACGCGATCTCCGATAGTTAAGAATATCAACGCTATTTCCGCTTATCGATAACTTTAGCGTAAAGGTTATACTGAAAGATACATTGATAAAATTTCGAGTTAGAATTCAGTTGCTCTATTCTTCAAACTGTTCTATTCTGCGAATTGTTGTATAATAAGATTCAGTATTAATAAAAGCACAAGCGGTTTTGTATATGTAAATCAATCCAGTAGATCATTTCAAAGATAAATATCAAGAAACATGTTCAATTTTTTGTTACAGATTTTTTGACCGATTTGGAATTGATTGATTCTTAAGTAATAAAAATATTTATGTGTTCAAATTATTAATAATTTAAAATAAAAAATAAAACTAATTTTTAAAGATAAAATAGATAAGAAAACGATATTTTTTAATTATTTTCAAATATAATATCTAGAATTTTCATTTAAAAGTTAAAGTCACAATAATATATATGCACAATTTTAAAAATTAAGAGGAAAGATAGGTGACGGTTTCTTACAACATTATATTAAGGAAAAGAATTTGAGCAGATTGATCAAAGAGATTAAAATTAAATCAATAATACTGGAAGATATTCTATATATATATCCAGACAACACACGCACGCGCATGCGCACACACACATACACGTAAAATCAGGATATATTTTAAAGATCATTAAGAAAAGACATCTTTTAGATACGGTAAAAACCGTCTTAATCACATCTTTAAAATGTCTTACGTCTCAATTTTAGATATACGTGCTGCATAGTTTTAAAAAAATGTATATTTATATAACTGTTTTCATAATTAATAAAGTTCATTCTCCTGGTGAAAAAGGATTTTATATGTATCTTTATTACACCATGTTATATTCATATTATAAATATGAAAAAGTTGCGCCGCAATAATCGAATAATATATATCATGTTTCTGAAGTATTAATTTCTTTCTGACAAGATATATGTTACGGATCAAAAGAATTATCATAAATTCAATCATTATATCATAATAATGCACACAATGAAACAAGAGAAATCATATCTCATCGTGATTGCTTGTAATTTTTCATTTTCTTTCTTCTTTCTGTCTTCCCCCAAAATAATAACCATAATAAGTAGCAGCTGTTCTTTCCAGAATAACAAGTATAGCCGACGGGGCGCAGATCTATTTCGGGTCAGGGGTTAATATTTGATGACGGCAGGGTTGCCGTCAGTGTATCTAAAAATAAGCAATCAATACGGCTAACTACATGTTACAGAATTAAGCTCGCAGGCGCATATATGTGTGCGTGCGGTACTCCAAGATTATCAACCCTCGTCAAAGGATTAATTTCACATGAACACGCATACGTAAAGTTTCAACGTGACTAAGAATTACACGTAATATTAAACACTCACGTGTCATAAAACATGATAATAATATTATCTAACGATGAAGAAGATTATGTGTGTATTAATACTATAATCGAAGAAAAAAATTCAATTTTTTGTACTTAATTTTAATAACTAAAAATCAATTTTCAATTTAATTATTTTACATTACTATATAACGGATGATAACTTTAATAAATCAAGCGTTTGCTTAAATAATTTATAAACTAATTATGTCCTTATATATCAAACATCAAAAATTTCCTTTCCAGTTCATTCACTGAGATATTTTCATATTTAATATAACCAAAGATTAAATCTGTATATGTATGATATATATCGTAATACAGATTCCGAACTCAGTACATTTATTACTGCGTAATATTGTTGCGTACTATATAAGCATCGTTGTAATAAACGTCCTTGCGTAAAAATCATAGCTTTTTGCGAGCAACGAGTTGTGGTGTTTACGACACCTGGCAGGTGTTCAGAGCACTTCGACACACTCGCGTTTACACCTTCGTCGAACTGTTTCTGGCGACGATTCGGCTCGACTCGACTTCTAAAATCGTCCGCTTGAAGGAAAGCAGGCAAATAAAAACGAAACCGCCGATAAACAATCGAGTAAATCGTATTCGCGGGAGTACTTTCGAGACTTTATTCGCGAAAACAATTCCGCGTTCTCAAAGCGTAGAAACTAATATTAGATTAATGAAACTTTATGAGGATTGTGAAACAAGGCGTTAACAATGAGCATGAGAGCTTAATAATCCTCACAATTACGCCGGTTTGATTTTCCAATCTGAGAAAATTCTGTAAGTACATTCCATTCGGCGCGTAACAACCAATTTCCACAAATTGTGCGATTTCATTTCTGATACGGTTACGAAATCAGTCTGAAACCGTTTGTCATTCGTATCGCGTAATATATGCAAGATCACGAATATTTTGAAACTTACTAAAGAACACATGTCCTACTAAACTATTATTAATAATACTAAGTGCCTCGTTTTTTCGTACAATTTTAATACAATTAATTTTCATATAATTAATAAAAATTTGGCTTTTCCTTCAAAAATTTTGAAATTGATATTTTGAAAAGATTTCTAACAAATAAATTTAGAAAATAAGAGATATAAAATGCTAATCTTACATTTCTATTGTATGAAAATTATTTATTAATCATTTCTTAATTCAATATAATCCTAATATTTATTGATAAAAATTTCAGATATTATCTTGTCAGAAAAAAACATCAGAGTTCCATAAAAAATTGTTCATTTAAAATATTTCTGTTTAAGAAATAAAAAAATCATAAAATTGCTTTGTTTTTTTTTTCACTAATTACAATGTTAAGAATAATAAAGTTAAAATACTTGAAGAACTGTTTAAAGTTCTGGAGAGCTTATCAAGAATTTTAATTGTTTTTATCACTCTAAATGAGCTTGAAATGAAAAAGTTACAATAATTTTTCAATTCTACCAAGCAAATTTTCAAAGTTTTTGCAAGTAAAATTTTTGTCAGAAATCCAACTTTCTTAAGAATTCTGAACAAAGTACCACAAAATTTTTAAATCAAAAGTATTAAAGTTCAAACTGATTTATTTGAAATAAAAAAGATAGGGACAATTTTCATACAAATAAAATATAAAGTAGATATTTCCTAACTATAACAGATCCTTATTTTTTATATTTAATTATCAAAACTATTTCCATTAAAACATACTCGAAAATGCTAACATTTCTTTTTAGAAAAGAATCAAAGTTCTATCAATTTCAAAAAATATTGAAAATAGAGTATTAACTTTAGAGATTTCAATTGGTGTTTTTTAAAATAATATATGTCTGTATATTAATATCAGAACAAATAATGCATAGCAAATCAAATTAAATTTTTTAGTATAATATATTTTATGATGAAATAAGTGTTTCAAGCCATTCTTAGTTTTCAAATATTCATATTATAATGATGCCTTAATGCGCATAAATACCTACAAGTAGCTTTTAAAAAGAAGAAAAGTTTCCTACCTTGACATCGTCTTGGGCTGTAGAAGGACGATTCCAATGTCCCGTCGTCATCCCTGAAGACTTCTAAGTCGTCGCAAATGCAGCACGTACAAGCGTGATTGGACGTTTCCATACAATTGACCGGGAGTTTCCGCACTTCATTTCGCGCACGATTAAGATGAAATTGTTCCATGTTCCTGTAACACGTAATTTGTATACTCACATACGTATTTGTTCGTTTCTTATTTATTGATCATTTTTATGCTCATTTACATTGGTTTAAGAAAGATATCGCAAATTGACAATTTTCTATCAGATGTATTTTCTACAAGTGTGTTTTTAAAATTTTGATATTATAAAACTCGTGGTTTTAATTAATTTCTAGGGGTCCCAAAGAATTGAAATTGATCGCGAACTAGCACAATATATGATAATTTTCTGATACTTTTTTTAACTGACATGCTCCTATTTTTATACTATATTTATTATCAGTAAACGTAAAAATAAACTTAAAAATTCGTAATAATAAAATACGGTAAGATAAATAAAATAACTTTGATTTAGTCAAGTACAAAATAAGTACAGTAAACGCAACTAATAGAAAAAGTATCACGATCGCTGTAATTATTGTTTACCTCATATTTTGATTGATCACAGCATTAATTTCATGCATCTATTTTATTCATAATTTCCAGATATAACTATAATATATAATCATATAATTGATGTATACGCCGTATAGCTAATTTATGAACAGATCTTAATAAATCTTAATAGAAGGGTCTTAATAGATTAAGATATCTTAATAGATCTCAAGTAATGTTATGATCGCACAAAGTTATACATTTAACGAAACTGCAGTCGCACTTGTTCGCAACTGTTCGCTGCTTGTTATCAATGCAGCAGTGAAGGTAAATCTCGATGCAAGATATGATAGCTTTCTTGATTATCGGCGCGGTATATTACGGTCATGGATTCTATAATCGCGCAAATTTTACTGAACGAAATTGCCCTGAAAATTCGCTCTCTATCAACCTGCAGCGTACTAATTTGTAGATATATGGTATGATACACGATATGATCAGGCTAATCTAAGTTTTGGACGCATTACATTCTACAAAAATACGCCAGTCGCGCGTCAAGTCTCTCATATGAACGTAAGGGTTACTTTCGCGTACCTGCGGTACCGGAATTTGAACCGAAGTCCATTACGGCTTCGCGGCTCGGCACGTACAGCGACGGCGAAGACGTTTTCATCGGTCGACTGCGATCGAAAAAACATCGTCGATCGTCAAGACTCGCGGCAATCGACATGCATTCCGGCGCCCGTTACTTCAATCGGCAATCCCGACAAGAATTCATGCTCGTTACGCGCCATCAACGAATAAAATCTACGAATAATCGCGAAGCTATTCGCGCACTCACATCTTTCCGAACCGACGCGCTGCGGAAAATATCGTGCCGACGCGCACGATCGGCGCGACGCTAAAGTCACTAGAATAATGCTAGTGACTTTAGCGCGAAGCCGCGGAATATTAATTTCTAATTGAGACTTGAAATGCAACGTTTGAGAAACATTTGATTATGGAATATTCGATATGGAAAAAATAAATGCTTTCTGTAGACTTTTTAGCAAACCACGACGGTCAACAATGTCTTATTTGATATTTTTTTATAAAGACTTAAATAAATTCGTAAGACTATATGTGAATGTATTTATTAATTATCATATTGTATGTCATATATACATTGTGAAAATTGTGAATACATACGAGAGAATATGGAAAAAGTTTGACATAGTATGATATGCGACAACGCGTACACAAACTGTCGTAACATTTCATTAAACTTATACCCAAGTGATGGAACTATTTTATTTTTGTTTCTATATTATATACCTTGTGCAATTTGCAGATCAATTTGATTTCGTTTCTTTTCTTTTCGTTCGCATATTTATTTTACGATAAAAAATCATCTATACTTAATTTATATATTATATTGATTTACGAACCATGCTAATGTCTAATAATCCTTCCTTTCTGTTATTAACATAAGAAATACGACGGTTTTCTTTAAATATATTTATTTAATAAAATTCGAACAAAATTTCTTTTGCATTAAATTAATAAAAAAAAGAAATAATAAGAAAATTTTTTAAAAATTGTTGCATTGGTCTTCTCAGAAATATTAAAAACAGTCTATTACAGTTCATTCTCCATCTCCATAACTAAGGAACTTTTTTTTCTATTTAAGGTATCACATAATGCTATCTTCATTCATTAATTCTGCCTTTAGACATCTGACTAAAATAAAATAAAACAATAACGGTTTCATTTGTCACGTTATATGACGCGCACCTATAAACGAATCTCTCCTTAGGAACTCTTTATGCGTGACCGTGAACTCCGAAGACCGTGACAGTTCCCGGTTAAGAAAATCAATATGCATCACGAGCGCAGCTTCATTTGTGCGAAAACAAAGGATATCCTTAATACTAAGATGGTATCACGGTGACGTCAGAATCGTCATGGCAACTCCCTTTGGTGCACCCACGCTGTATCAGCTGTATGTATTATCGTATCAAATTTAATTCACCAAAGCACAAAGATTCATCCGATTAGAGAATTAGTCCCTATTAGTACCTCATATTTGTATCAATTATCTCGAGACAGAAATACGCGCAGAATGTACATACAGAACGAACTGGATAACGTTGAACAGAATAAAAATGTAAATGTTAAATTAAGTATTGTATTTATATGTACATAAAAGCTAGATAAAACATCATTTGTCTTTCTATATTATTTCAAAGAAACATGCAAAACTCACACGTGTAGAAATTGCATTTGTTTCTTTATACATTTATAAAGAGTTTATATAGTCAAAATTAAGTTTAGATAAATTGTCACTGTAATATATTACTTTTTTTAGGAATAGTTCGTTCCACAAACGAGCACGTTCGATATATCACGTCAAGAATCTTCTTACATATCGAAATATAAAAGTATAAAATAAAAATGTATATCCCTGGCAAAAATAAAACGTAAAAATAAAACGGAGTGCAAATCAAATGTAAGGCAAGAATAATAAGCGTAAGTAACGTTGTAGTGTAGATTGGAATAGCGAAATATAAAAGAAACGTAAAGTGTTTACAAAGTTTTCAATGCTTCTTTTCATTCCATTGTTACACTTACTTACGGTACAATTTTTATTTTTGCCAGGGATGTCCTTCGCTTAATTTAAATGAACACCTTTGGAATAAACTATTACTGTACATTTAAATTTTTAGAATTGGCTTCTGTAGTTTTGTTAACATTCAGCATCGTCCATACCCTTTCAAACTCGTTTATAAATGGCTTGACTATTGCTGATTCATTGGTAATCAGCATGTTCTCAAAATTTCCAAAAAACGCTGATTTAGTCCAGTTTATGCTGCCCGATATCAAAATGTTATTGTCAATAACAACAAATTTATGATGCATTAAGGTGTCTAATTTTTTTGATATCAGTTTAATGCCTGCAAACAAAGCAATGATGTCAACTACAAAGTTGTTACATTATCTATCTAATATCAGAGATTGTGTCTTCTAAATTTAACGCGTAATATTTGCATTTCAAAATGTTCAACAAACCTTCATTGTAAAAGCTCATTATTTGGCTTGTATCATTCTGTGCCATCGACTCGTCCAATATCATCCTTACGACAACATTTCTATTTTTGGCCCTTATAATTGCCTCTGCTAGGGCTGGGAATGTAAAGAAATATAGGCATACGTCCAAAGTGTCAGTCGCAGAATCCAGATAGTTTATAATCGTCCTGCAAATACAGTCAGATATGTTCTATTCAGTTGCATTAAGCTATGATAAAAGAATGTGAATAAATCAATTCTATTTTGCCTCACTTTAAGCGGTGTCTACAGTGAGACTTAAGACTTAAGATTTATGAAATTTGATCAATCACAATCGATTATGTTTCTCACATGGGATGAATAATCGGCTAGGATTGATTAATTTTCTTAAATTATAAGTCTCAAGTCTCATCGTGGACGACGTTTTATACCATATTGAAAGCGTTACCTCAAGTGTCTTATTGGACAATTCAGCGCTGCACATGGTTTCATACATTCCAAATGTGTTCGACATAAAGACGAGTCTTTCGAAAAGAACATGACTTCGTGGATTGGTTTTTTATTTCTGGAAAGCTGCTTTGCGCAGCCATTGGAAGTATTAATCGCTTTCCCTTGAGAACTTCTGTACCCCTTGTACAACTGCCATATTACTTCTGTCGCGAGAACACCGATGGATGTTATTACAATTACAGTTTTTTTCATCATCTTAGCACCTGAGCACTTGGAAGTCTCTATAAGTGTCTCTAAGGTCGTCTACAAGTCGGAAGATTTCTAAAAGAGCAATGCTAGAAAAAACCCCTTAAGAAACTTCTTGCTTTAATACAATAGAAGGCTTCACACAACATGGATTTGCAAAGAGGATTCAACTCTTGTAGTCTACTGGCTTGACAAAACAATACGTCACACACAAATATAAATCTCAATAGCTGGATAATATTAGAGATCAGCTGAGAGTAACCTCGTCAATCTCACCATGTGCCTACGTACCCGGTACCACTACATACAACTGTGGTGCACATCGCAACATGCGCCCGATGCGCCCTCTCGTCTGCTCTCGACTAACCTATAGTTAGCACAACGACAGTTACCATCACGTCGATCACTACCAGAAGATAATCACAAAAATGCAGTTTCAACAAAATAATTTCATGCCATTTATATAAGCATTTATAAATCTCGCCGTCTCCGATTAGCTTGATCGGTCGATCACCTAAAAAAAATTGCCAATTCTAAACTTAAAACTGATCATTTTAACCTAATTTAATTATTTAATTAAACTAAATTTTTAACTAAAAGTGTTGTATAAATAAATTAGAATTTGCAAAAAATGAATGAAGAAAACAAAATACAATTATAAGTTTTAAGTTTTGCAATTGACAATTTAATTTTAGTCCGTTTCGCGATTAATCGAATTTTAATATTCCAATTTACAAACCTGAATCTCCAATGCATATTTTAATGCTTAAAATGAGTAAGCAAAACCAATTACTGAAAATAACTACGAGCTAAATAGTTAGATATATTTCGAAAAAACGATACTGGCATTTTCGACAGCATCAGCTGATAGCATCAAACATTTTCAATTGTTTCTATATATAATTTAATGGAGTAAGATAAATAAGTGGTGGAGTGCGATTTGTTTATTTATTTATTTCCGTTTACGTGGCGGTCAAGCTGAATGGGGAAGAAAAAGGAAAGTGGCGGATCTGATTGGCCATGTCATCTCGGTTTATTCCACATCAGAGAACGCACGCACTGATTCGTGCTTGCACAGTAGTCGTGTGACCGTTCGATACATCGACCGTCGCCTTACGATCGCCCCGCTCCGCCAAGCGCCGAGCAGACTCTTGGAATTCTACTTCGATATACGCGCGTGCACCTTGTTCGGAACATCGAACAAAAAAAAAAAAACCATATACGTCTTTCTGAGAACGGACAAGTCCTGTAATTTCAGTCTCGCCCAAACAAAATTGCCGTTCTCGAGACTTAAAAGTCGCGCTCGCGCTCCGCGCGAGTTTCGATAGGTATCGATGATCGATAGGGTCTCTGGCAGATCCCCGGTGGCAAAGATGTCCGTTGGTGCGGCGGTGCGGAGTATCGTCAGTCGCTCGGCCGGACGTGTTTGTGAGTAAATATCAGCTGGATGCGCAGCGCGACCCCGCGACGGCGTGCCGACGTGCGAGCGCGACGACAGTAGGGACCGATCTTCGCTGGTGCTGCGTGCGCGAGGGAGCCGCGCGACGATGGGCCTCTTCCCGAACTCCTCGCCCTTCGACGCTGACGTCGGTGAGTAATACCCCCTCGTTTTCTCGCCCGTCACGGCCCCGTCTGCTGGGCCTGATACACGCGCGTCGACGTACCGCGGATATCGCGTGTCCCGAGGATACCGCCTCTCTCGGCCGCGCGCGCGTTATCGCGACGGCCGCTCGCGTCTGCTTTCCTTTCCACAGGGGGGGCCTGCCTGCCCGCCCGTCCGCCCGCCCGTGGAACCTTTTTTTCTACATCGGGCGCATTAAGCGGTTGTTGACACTTGACCTCCGGCCACATCGTCGGATCTGTCGTGCTGCTTCCTCCGTCCCCTCCCCCCCCTCCTCCCCCAAAATTCTAATGCGCGACCGATTTTACACGCGACAGCGAGGCGGCAGCGATTCCACGCCCGATGACAGTTCGCCACTCTCGATATCTCCCCCCTGGATGTCGCAACGCTATTCACTTCGGAAAGCGTCTGTCCCTTTGTCTCTCTTCTTGCGCTCTTATCGCCACGCCTGCGAGTCGTCCCATTGTTATCTGTTCTTAATCTTTGTATTTGTGTTTTAAAAAAAAGAAATCCTCCTGTTATTTCTTGATTATGATGCATGCCATTGAATATCCTGTGACTGTGTGTGTGTGTGTGTCGCTCTTTAAATCGTCATTTGATTGTATTGCATCAGAAAAGGCAACTAACGAGAACAATGTGACGGAGGAATGGGGAAAGATAATGGACATCTGCGATAAAGTGGGCACCTCCAGTCTAAACGCCAAGGACTGTTTACGTTCTATCGTTAAGAGATTGTACTGTCATGATCCTCACGTGGTCATGCAAGCTATAACAGTTAGTATACATTGTTTTTTTTTTTCACATTAAATCAAGTCATCCTCAACGTAATATTTTAATTATTTATCTTTGATTTAGTTGTTGGACGCTTGCGCCAGTAATTGTGGAAAAATTTTCCACTTGGAAATTGCGTCCAGGGATTTTGAAAACGATTTGAGAAAGCTTATTAACCATCAGCAGCCGAAAATAGTGGATAAAATCAAAGCGCTCTTGAAAAAATGGGTGGAGGGTGACTTCAAGACGGACCCACAATTGAATCTGATTCCAAGTTTATATAATAAACTCAGAAGCGAAGGCCATGACTTTTCTGCTGTCTCGGATACGGTGAGTCTTTATCCTGCTGCATTATTCCATGCACTTTTTCCATTGACAACATATGAATCAACATATGAAATATGAATTGTTTATATTCATTTCAAAATCAAGTGTTGAAAGTCCAGTACTGAGCATTATTTAAGTCAGTCAGATAATTCTATCACTTATTGATACTGTATGTTTCTCTTATTTTGCATCGTGTTACTTTATAAGTCATTGCATACACTTTGAGGCCCATTTTCATAATATATGGTTAATGAAAAGGTTAGGTTAGGTTAACTAAAACATACTTTTATAAGCTTATAGTCAAATAAACTGAAGGTTACATGTACATCAGTTGAGTTGACAAGTTAACATGATGGTTAAATCAATCAAACATTGTGAATCAATAAATTTCTTGGTAATTTTTAACCTTTAGTTAAAACCATACATTGTGAAAATGGGCCTGAATCTTAGAACATATATTACTGGAAGGAGAATTGAATGCTGAACGTGAAACTAACATCTGTGCGAGACAGAAAGGTATAGGTTCCCAATTGACTGTAATGCCATTCAGCCTCCACTCAGCCACTTTTGCTCAGTTTCTTATTTTTCGAAAATCTTTTTAAAAGAAATGAAAAACGGGGCTAAGTGGGGGCTGAATGACACATGCTCATTACAGTTAATTGGGAACCTGTATCTTTCTCTCTCGCACGGATGTTGGCTTCAGCTCGATACACAGATGGTATAGGCAATTCTCCTTCCAGTAATATATGTTCTAGGGCCTGAATAGATTAACTGATCAGACATGTGACTATTAATTCAATATTTTTAAACTTTTTCTTATAAATATGTAATTTTTTTTAGCCGAAACGTACTAGCACTCTGAGCAGAGATCCTAATGTAGTAACAAATTTACAAGAAGAATCAGATATTGCAAAAGGTAAGCTTAATATTATTTTTGTTATATATTTGATAATGTTTTAAGCTTATTTCTATTATATTCTCTGTTATGTAAACGTTATTTTACAGCCATACAGCTTTCGTTGCAAGAAATAGAAAGTAAGGTTCGTACTCAAAGCACCTCATCGCACAGCTCGCCAGCTTCTAAAAAAAGTACCAGTTTATATCCTAGTGTGAATTCTGTGCTTGGAGCCTCAAGCAGCTCCCAAGAAGGCAGGAAAGTACGTGCTCTATATGATTTTGAAGCTGCAGAGGATAATGAACTGACATTTCTAGCAGGAGAAATAAGTATGTATATGAAGATTAATACAAAAGCACAAACAACACACATGTGGATAAATATTAGAAATAAATTTCTAATTTTAAATTTAACTTTTTAGTTAACATCTTGGACGATTCTCATCCAAATTGGTGGAAAGGTAGCAATCAAAGAGGCGAAGGGCTCTTTCCCTCCAACTTTGTTACTGCTGATTTATCTGTTGAACCAGAAGAGTTTACAAGTAAGATACGCGCGAGACTTAATTAACTTTTTGATATACTCTAAAGTTTAAGCGTCCTCACATTATCTACCATATGTTCGCGATTGAATTAATAAATGTGTTATAAATGTGTTTGCGTGCAGAATTAGAACATAGTAACAAGAAATTAGTGCAATTTGCCGAAGAAGTGGAAGTAAAGATGGTGAAGCGCGAACCCGAAGTGGTGGAAATCGAAATAGATGAGAAGAAAATGGATAGATTATTACATCTGCTTCACGAAGCTGATCCGCAATGTGATACCTCCGATCCTCAGGAAATGCTCGATTTAGAAGGTAACTATGAATCTTGGATGGAAACATTAAGTTTAAAAAAAAAAAAGAAATGTTACAAATATGCATTCCATTATTTTGCATTTATTGCATTTTTGCAGAACAAGTCACGGCGATGGGGCCTTTGATTGACGCGGCTTTGGAGAAAGTGGACAGGCGGCATGCGCAGCTTACCCAATTAAGTTCCGATTTGGTCGACGCTCTTAATTTGTACCACACCCTGATGAGAGAACCTCCAACGCCGTCTGGTTACACTTTACCTAAAATGCAACCACACATAAGTCCTTATCCATTCCACAATCCGGGACCACCGCCGCCACCAACGCACGTAAGTGCTTCGACGCGCTCCTTCAGTAACAATCCTTACAACCGCGCGAGATATTCTGACATTGCTACCTTCTTCAAGATGTTTAATGGTATGCCGCCTTCTTCTCCGTTCCCCACTGGAGCCGGCTCCGGTCCGGTGGGGCCGTATAACGCGAGTTTGCCGAGCAACGAGTACATGGGTCCCGCCAGTATGCCAAACATGACTTTACCCCAACACTTTCATGTTCAATCGGGACCCCACCAACATCCGCCTGGACATCCGCAAGGGTCATCTTTGCCGCCGCCTGATCAAAATAACCTTCCTTATCAACCACAGGGGTATGTTGGTTTTATTTTGCTTTTGTTGCAACGCCGATCGCAAAAAGTTCACTATGATCAGAATCACTATAAGTCCAAGAATATTTTCATGTCTCACGACATTTCTCCTGTACATAAATTACAATACACTGTTAGAAGTGCATGCGCATTTTTTCATGGTATTACATGAAAATATTATTCTTTAATTGCATGTTTCATTGATTATGTTGTATTTATGTTTTTTTTCTTTTTTTTTTAATATAGGTATTATTCTAAATATAGAGGTGATAATTTAAATATATTACGTAGCAGATATCCGCCTCAAAGCGGCCCAGCACCCGGGCCATATGGTCCTCCTGGACCCACAGGACCTGTAAATCAGCAATCACAATATGCTCCACCAAATGGGCAACACATGATGTAAAGCAAAGCTATGCGTTACGAACTCATCTTGTACTCTAATTCAAGTTGTACAATATTACTATATATTATAATTATTTAAATAAACATACCCAAAGTAGCCAAAGATAATGGGTTTTTAATAAAAATTTTACGTTTCGGCTCTAGGCTTTACTCTTTTAAATCTGTACATGCTATTAGGGAAAGCAAAGCAGAAAGTGACTTATGTTGTCTACATCACGTTTATACTAGTTTTGTAATGTTAGATATTTATTGATTTAGACTGTTCAGTTTTAATTTATACATTCCTTCAGTCGATTTGATTTCTTTTATTTGACTATTGTTTAATGCACATTATCAAAAAAAGTTCATTAAATATCAGTGTATTTGTAAAAGGTTGTTAAATCCCATATTTCTATACATTATTTTAAATAATACTTCTCTCATTAAAGTTTCATATATACAGATATATATATAAGATTAATTCTTCGTGCTTTGTTTTACATCTAAGTTGTAAGCGTTATCGCATATGTGTCATAAAAACTGTAAATTTAGCATTTTTAAAACATTACGCATATTTTGAATAATATGTCTCTACAATGTTTCGTAAAAGTACACGAAATACGAGATTTTGGCATTGAATAGAAAAGAGCTCAAGAAATGTTTTATAGTTTTCTACTCTGCCATCGATTAACTGATTGCGAAACGGGGTTTGCAGTGTGATTATTAGGAAATGAAGTGATATTATTGTTAAAGGAGTGTTACAATCACGAAGTGTTGTTAAGGCTCTTTTAATTGTCAAGCAATGCTTGAAACATCTTTTGCAAGAAAATATGTCTCAATATGGTCTAGTCTCCACATTGTGTACAATAAGACTAATTCCTATTAAATCGCTTAAAAAGTAGCGAGACTGCGAGAAATTTTTTATCGATTGTTAAATAATAAGTGATATTTGTATATATACACGACGAAACGTCCTGTCTCGAATATAACGGAAATGACCGACGCTTTTCGGCCATTTACGATATATTAAAATTTATTACACATTGTGTTATAAATAACGTGTTTTACTTTCCAATGCATATCGATATAATTATTCAAAAGTTTCGGCTGATATAAAAGATAAGAAAAGAGAGGGAAAAAAGTATATAAAAAGTACACAATGGTACTGCGGGCAAAGCTTACGCCTCAAATCTAAGTGGAAACATAATTTTTAAGGCATAATTTATAGGGGCAGAACGTACCAATGTTTTTGTAGCAGCGATATTCTGTACACTGTACATTTAAGCGAGTAAAGACGGAAACGAGATAGAAATTAAAAGCGAGATGAATAACAGGTCTTATGGAGAGTAGGCGCTATTTATGCTGTGTATGTTACGTTACCATTAAAGTGGCTTTATTTATATAATCAATTATCGCTTCAATTCCTTCTTTCTTGTATGCATATACGGATTTTGCCGAAAGAAAATCTCGCGACAGAAAGCAACTGTATACTATGTAAATACCACGCAAAAAAAATACATTTTTCGAAATGTTCACTTGCTTCTCCACTAGTATCGTACTTTTTCCTACATTGTAGCCGTGTTAACAAAACTTTGACAAAATGCTAAAGGAACGAAAGGAAAGTGTTCATTATCGTGTGTAGCGGTGTTTAGCAGATAAATATCAATTATCACCTAAAGTGCGAAAATCATTTATGCACGATTTTGGCATTCAGCATCTATCAGTACTAAAAGTATTATTGCAATAATTATATATTTTGCACATTTATAGGCGCAATACGTTACGTTTATGAGCCGCGGATTCTTCGCAATATGCCGTCTTCGTTCCTAAACTTGATAATATCCGTAGTCGCCGATTGCCACAGTCAGTGAAGGATGAATCTCTTTTCATTGCCATGTTGATTTCTAAATCCGTCGCACATTGTACACGTTAAAAAGTGCTTATTAATTTTTCGCTTTTTTTTCTCGCCACGCCTTTTGCCACGTTGACCTTCTCATACTTTTACAGTCACAACCGTTTCTTTTAATAGTCGTTAATGATACCCGAGAATTATTTAAAATTTTATAATGGGCTGTGCACACAGCAAAACGCCTGAAGATACACATGTAAATATACAGCGAATAATATAATTCCCCGTAACGGAAGATTTACGATCGATGGAACAATGAATTAATGATTGAAAAATCCCGCAAACAAGTCCCGTTATTAATCGTTTGTTTTTCTTATGCAACATGTGGCACCATATCCGCGTGCATAAATTTTAATTAATTTTTATTCTTGTGCGTAAGTTTTATTCCCGTGCGATTCTTTAATTCATATATGAAGTAGATTTTATAAACGATTTGCAAAAATCAAATTGCTCTTTATTACAATATATAATTTATTGGAAATATTTTTGTTTTTTACTTTAAATTCTAAGTACTTTGCATTATACTAATTTAGTTATATTCCACGCGTATGTGTTATATTGCGCGATTGGTGGACTGTTGAAAGTTTCTGATATTGTATTATACTATCCATATACCCTCTCACAAATTTAAATTGATAAATAGATAATATATTAACTAATTTGTGTACAATTGCGCGTGTAAAAATTTTCTAAGCGATTTTACAAATATTCATGCGTGAATAACATAAGCATCACTTAACGCGCCTGATGAACAAATAATAGCGCGCGCGTATTTAACATCTAATGAATTATTCTAAAACGTGAGAAAATTTATATGCAATCGCCCATAGCGTACATGGGAGTGTATAAGTGCTTACTTATTCTAGTATTAATTATTTGTACTTTCAATGTATTACATTGAAAAGTAAATTCTTTTAATTAACGCTTCTGTTCACTTCTTGACATTACTCTTTTTAATTGATATATATTTTTTTCTGTAAATAATTAGTGTTCAGATAATTGCATCCGTTTGTATTATCCACTAATCATATAATTTCGTTAAATATTATCGTTAGTATTACTCACCATATGCTGCTTTCTCACTCTCACATTGCTATTTTCGCTGTGATTGCTATGTCACTTTTTTTTTATCGGCCGTTTATGACTTGTATCATTTTATATATCGGATGGTATATCGATAACGGATCGACGTAACTTCCTTATAACTGTTTTGCTGATAAGATCATTAGAATAATGAGTTGAGTTCCTTGGCAATGGCATTTCTTCGATCGACAATGGACCGAGCAGCCTTGGCATTAACATTCTAGATCTCTCGGTTTCGTTTCCAAGCCGCAGACAAGACTTCGTGACTATCAATCATGATAGCCGAGCCGCTGTAAAACATCCAGTCATGCAATAAAAAAAATTCTAACTTACTCTTCTCGCTATTCTTGATCAACGTTAGCAACTATTCATTATCAACATTTATCAGTAATTGCTATATATAATGATTAATAGCTTTGTATAGTATATATTTATAAATCTATTAATCATTATTGATTCAATTTGCAGAAAATATAAAATCTAATTTCTTATATTACCATAAAAATTATAAAAATTAATAGACTTTTATAGAATTTTAATTGGAGACTTGTTAGTTACTAAGATATACAATGCTAAAAGTGATAATAAATGATTATTTTTTTCTTCTTGATTTTTTTATCGAGAAAGAATAAACACTAAATTTTTTAAGCTATTCTAAATTCTTGACAAAAGATAAATTTTTAACATTTTAACGATAGATATTATAACTGTAACTCTAATCTCTTTGCTTTATTTTATATTCTAAGTATCTCAACGATACTTAGAATTTTTCTATCAAGGTAATGTTTTGTTCTATCACTTTTATTGCTCTCGTATGTAGCTCAAGGCCAGTGCAATTGTTTTTCTAGGTCTAGGATCGGCTCATCCCAAGTCAGATTCGCGTGAATAATATCTCAATGATTGAGACAATGAACGAATTTGTATTTTTTTTTTACGAATATGTAAACAATTTTGCTAACGTATTTTTAATAAGAAATAGACGTTTTGAAATGCAATGCATATGGTATAAAATATTATAATTATTACATTATTTCATTTATTATATTATTTAAATGTAAATAATAAATTAATAGAGTAGAGAAGCATGTGCCAAAATACATGCAAAGTAACGACGATTTATGGCACGTAAAGAAAGAGGTCTCGCATATGTCGAGAAAAAACTGTTTTGAAATGAAATACAAAACACGACTGACTACTTGAATTTGAAATCAATAAATCTGAAAACATCCTGATAAAGTCACGTGACGTTATTGTTACATTGCATTGCATTTCTTTCGCATGATTCACCGTCACAGATAAAAAATCGCGCAAAATATTAATATTTTGATTGTAATATTAACGGTAATATCCCAAATCAAATTTGCTGGTTCTTTGACACATGGATAAAGTATGATGTTATATATCTTATAAATAATTTTATGATAGTTGAATGATTTATAAGATGAAGAAATGATCTTCCATAGTCTTTATTAAATGATTCATTATTAAAGGAAACAGCTCAAATTACTTCAATATGCAATATCAGATGATATTATCATCTGTGAAACAGATGATATAATCTGAGAAGACCAACTTTAATTTATTTCTAGTTTCAGCTTATTAAGCAACATATTTCGCATTGTGCAATAGCTTTCCTGCGCCTTAATAAAGCAATCGCGTGCAAACTTTAGCGTCATTAGTTAATAATTATTGCGGGTGTATGCGTCAGTTCTCAAATTTCGCGATCATAGATAAATTCCCGCTTCGAAAGGTCAGGTCTCTATCGGTCATCAGATTGGCTGTAGCTTAAACAGTAGTGAAACGTCGCATGGAAAAGGTTGTGCAATTTATTAGAGATATATTTGATATTTAACAAGGTTTGACCTTAGGAACCACGTGAATATGATGTACGAATTTAGTGAATGGCGCGGTGCATTTAAGCATTTTTGAAAGATCGTCATATTTGCAAAACATTGGTCCAATCTACATTAATATGTAACAATGATTACTATATAATATTTTCATTATATATAATATCTGAAAAAAAAAATAAATTCTTTACTTTGTGATGTTTATATTTAAAAAATTAAGATTTTGTTGATAATTCATGATGATTATAATCTCAAAATTTAATCTATAATTTTTATGATTTTTCATAATTTAATGTAAAAATCGTCTTTGAGATTTTTATATATTTGAAGGTTGAGTATGTGAGAAGAGATAATTTTCTTCTTGTAAGCGATTCTCACATAAAATATATCGACAGATTGCCTATCTCTACATCCTTGACGAATCTTACGCTAATTTACATTACTTCACGAGGGAATATCAGCAAGCAACAGTCCCTTCGCTGTGGTTTTCGTAATAATTATTTCTGCCGTCCTCGTTGCATATATGAGCATTCTCAATCTCAATACAGAAAGGAAATGAAAATAATAATGCCTTCCACTTATACTACTACTAGGATATTACTGTATGAGATATAACATTTCTGCAGCTGCTGGAATAACGAGAAAAAAGATCATCAAAATATTCTTGTCAATCTGCACATTTAAAGGATGTACAATTAAATATAATATATAAAATAAATCATATATTGTCATATAAAAACTAATCAACCATTAGTAAGAAGTATTTACTTTCTAAGTTGTGATTATCATTTTTGTCTATTTCATGGACAAAAGGAAATACTGGCCAATTTATTTCTATTTTTGCAATATACGTAAAAATCAAAACATATATTTCTTTTTTAATCATGTGCATATGTTGTAAGTGTATTGTAAGCGCTATAAATTTAATAGACCGCAATACTTCTGTGAGAATTAATTAATTTTTATTTTCGTAAAAATGAAACGTATATATGTAAATTTCAAGGCAAATGAGATAATAAAAATGTAAGCAAGATAATGTACAAAAACAATGATAAATTGACTTTGTTTATATAATAATGGGTAATTTACGAATAGTAATATTATAAAACTCTATAGTCAATCTGAGTAGAAATTTCTTATTCACCGATAAATTAATCGCTTGATTAACTAAATTAATCATAAACTTAATTATTATATAAAACAGATTTTTATCTCGGTTTATATCTGCCACCTCTCATTTTTTTATGCAACGATTGCACGCTATGTTAATGAAGAGTAACAGGATGGCAATTCGCGCGGAATTTTGTAAGAACGAAACGGTGAATCCTAACGTAAGCTTTCGTAATAATGCACCGGCAGAACTGTGTTATCGAGATATACATGATAATTCACACCATTGTCTCGGGACAATGTTTATTGTCTGGATTTACGACTTTAGGAACCACGCGCGTGATATTAACGGTCCAAATAATAACGCCGTTAATTTTGCGAAAAAAAACCGCTTATAGAAACAATTATGAATTTATTAGCAACGATAAGATAATTAAAGCACTGTTCAATAACGAGAAACAATATTTATGTAACATTCATTAACAAAAAAGCGATTTTTCCGTTCAATCAACAGGAATAGAAAATTATTAAATTCTTCATTTTGCAAATTTTCTTATTTTAGCAATTTCTTAAATTATTTTATAAATCATATACTTTTTGAATTTAAATTATGTCGCCTCTCTTGGTTTTGTAATAACTAAACAAGATTTCGCGTTTTTCGTCCTCGATTAATCGAATAAAAATCTCATTGTCTTATCCATCTAAAATCGATGTCGGAGTAAATTAAATGCTTTATTGACAGCGAATTGCGATGTCTACAATCTTTGCGAAAACCTTACCGGGCGTTGAAATTCTCGATGACTTAGGAGAAAAAGTGATATGGAGACATGCAGCACATTATATTATTTTAATGGCGCCATTTATTTTCCTCGATTATTCGCACATTTAGCTACGATCGGATCTAAATGCGACGCTTATACACGTGAATTTCCATATGGAAATCTATGCACACGGGTGTTATATACGCGATTAATCTGCGATTTATCGGCAAAATCTTCACCTGAATCGATCAAATTCATGCATTACAAAATGGACTGTTCGAAGAGCAAAATGTGCGAAAATGAACTATCGTCGATCGGTTTTCTTTGAGATCGAAAAGTTCTTGTTATAAATTATAATTTTCGATCTTTATATGCATTTTGACTAATTTATACACTATTATTTTATCTTTATGTTTATTTCTTGATTGACAAAATCATTTCTTCAAGTGTTTTTACGTTGTCTTAGCGTTGCTTGGATACTGCAAGGTGACTCAGAATTTATTCAAGTTAATTCTGCATTTTTTAATATTAAATAATTTTTATCTCACTTCAATATTATGCCAGCGATCGAATGCAATTTGTACTTACATGCTATTTTTATACGTTTAAGAATGCAAAAATCCGACCGAATCCCTCTCTTGTTCTCTCCTTTCAAGAAACATTGGCATTTAAATCTGATTTGCCATTCAACCGTGGAATGTTTATATCGGACGAAATTCGTTAGCGAGTGGGATGAATTTTATGCAAATTGTGATCTTAGCTGTGTGCGCGTGCGTGCGCTGCTATTTTCACTTGGCGGAGGAGCCAAGGTCAGACGGATGTACCGATGAAATTTCCATTAAAAAAAAAAAGATCGCGATAAATCTTAAATGGAACTTAGCGTCGGTTTCCGCACGCATTTTTCGTCTGCGCGCTGTACACGTCCGCACATTCGCACGATCTTTCGCAACGATCGCACGTTGCATTGTTCGGCCGGTCGCAAAGCCGTTACGCAAAATTGTCACATGCCAGTTTCAGGCCGGGAAAAGCGTCCAGATATCAGCGAAGGCTTAATTGCAACTCGCAATTTTTATTACATCAACAACGTGCAGCTCAAACGGCGTGCACGTGCGTTAATTATTACGATTGACCACGCACGTAGGGAGATGTTGGCTCTCAGCGTGCGTCACACGTGGATGGCCCGTATTGAATTTATTACACGTGTAAACTTGGTCATTAGCATTAATGCTGTTTATACGCACACGCCTGCATATTAAAAGGCATAAATTTCGAGGGACAAGGTCGTCACCGTCGAAAGGTTGGTGCGGGCCGACTGTACCGAGGACTGTACTTAATCTAAATGAAGTACCGATGACATTTAACGAGTGAAGGACGAAAACAGATGGTTACTTCAGTCTCGCGTGCGTGTGCGAATCGGCGGCCTTTTCAGCCCCGTCGCGTTTCCCGCTTGAGATAAACGGAGATGCGTGTCAGTATCGTAACACGAATCTTCACGTTCGTTTATAATTTTTCAAATGGCACGAAAATAAATAAATCTTTTTCATTTGAAGAATTATTTTATATGTATTCTTTCAGCATTTAAAAACATTATTACCGAGACACGCTGCAAATAAAAAAAAGATAATTGAATCAAAACGAAATGTCTGATTCTTGCTAGTCTCGTTTTTTTCACGATAGTAAAATTTACATTAATTTACAAATCAATTCTGTTAAAATAATTTTTTTTTTGCCTATTTCTTGCCTGATAAATTAAGCAACTTTTCTACGAAAAAACATGTTTTATCTCGCATGCTTTACTTTTCGAAACTTCAGCTTTGAATTCGGAACAACATTTTATCTTATTTGTAATTAAATAGTTTAGCTCGACGATACATTAATTTATACAAAAATATCGATATATGTCAAAATCGAATTCTTGAATCACATTTCTAAATTATTGATGGCATCAAGGTCATCGTTGCTCAGATCGCTAATGGACATATTCCATCGTTCGTTATTTTGACTGTACTACGTCTTACATAATTTGTCAGCATCCAAGAAACTATATTTTTCGTTCCTATATATTCTACTCCAAGGATAGATCTTATTAACATTTCGTAATCTTGCATTTGAGATGTCGATGAACCATGGAAACACATCGATGTTTGCTGCAAAAGAGTGCAGTTAATTATATTCACATGTATTCTTTATATAAAACATTTATAAAACTTTATATAAAACATATTGTTAATATCATTATTATTTAAAGCGATAAAAAACAAATCTCAAACAATCAAATTTGAGCAAAAAAAAACGATTTTCTTTAATAAAAATTTATTATTTACTATTTACAATTTTTTATTTATTTTGGAGCAATTCTTTTTACATGCAGTGAAATGGAACAACTGCATCCGAATTCAAGTGACATGATTTTATAACAGAGAGAAATCTTAAGTATTCTATAAGACACATGCACGCCGGCGGACGTCGCCAGCTATTACGAGCGCGCTTAACAGGTGTTCGAGAAGTTACCGGAGCTGCAGGCAAAAGTGTTACATCAGCGCGAAGACGACGCGCGATTGTTGTATATATAGTATATACGTGCGTATGTATATATAGGATGCATATACGCAAACCTCTCTTACAAATCCTGATTTATTGTGGTGCGAGTCGCAGTCGAGGGGTTGTTCGACTGGGCGAGTGAAAAGAGTTGAGAGCATGAAACTATCCAAGTACAATTCTTTTACAGTTTCCCATGTTCTTCCGGTGAGAAATAACATCATAAAATTGTTACATAACAAAGTAATGCAATGTAAAATTTTTATATAACACTATTCTAAATATATCGTAAAGGAAACGGGAAGGAAGATGCTCAAGTTTTACATGCTCAGGTTAATATTGTCTTTATCTTATCATTATATGCACAGCCATTATTCTCGGATTTTTACACGATACAAAAATATCCGGATTTTAATTCTCAGTGATATGTAACAACATCGAGGAATGATGATTATAATGATTATCACGCTGTGCATTAGTGTTAAGTTTGCCCAGTTATAGCGGAGAAAAACTGTGAAGAGGAAGTCATATATTAAAGAATTAATTATATATATGTGATAATATTTTATAATAATTAATATTTTCTTTGGACGGTTTATCCTCGAGAATTGAAAAATATACTGTAAACTGCACCATAAGTACATTTCATGGCCTCGTACAATCTTAATCAGGCTATGACGCTCTGACACTCTTACAATCTGCAAAATTATGTGTTATTATTGCAACTGTTCCATTTCTTCTTCTTCTAGAATAATTTTTTATTGAGCATAATCCTTATTTAAGGATTTCGTGTATAAAATTATATACAATTGTAAATCATTCAAAATTAATAAGTATTATACATTGATTACAATATTTTTTTGCTTCATCATTTACTTGCCGTGAAGACGTTAATTAACATTTATATTGTGCACATCGCTTTAATATTGCTATCGCTTTTTGTGCACGTCCACATTAATTTCCTCCGCAGAGACACTTGCATTTCGTCAGTCTGACACAACCGGAACCTCCTCCACTTTTCCAGCGTGATCCGTGGAAACTCCGAGAATGGACTCGGGCCTTAACCACGAGTTGCAGCACGGATGACATTGACTAGCCTGTTACTCGTCTACGGCGTCTATGTTACCACTTGGTGAAAGTTGACGAAGCGCATCTTCAAGGTCATCGCCTCCAGGGAATCGTCTCCGCTCGCGAGTGACGTTTTTCTAAAATTCGGTGCCATCAAGAAACATCAATGAATTACAAATGATAGTACCGGGATCTTTTCCTCAAAACGACTGTAAACGCAATAAAACGTACAGATTAATATCATACAACGTGCGAAAAGAACAAGTGGTGCCTTAATTGCCGGGAACGTTAATTGCTCCATTGTGCGTTTCAATTACTCGATACGAGCGGGTAACAGGTTTTGAGCTCGCGCACGAAACAATGTCGATAATAATTTAATAAGGTGTTTAGCACGGTTGGTGGCTACCGCACAATTCACAGTGTAGATATCGTCAGTTAATAGAATGATCTAGAGAGTATTATTTATGATAGGCTTAGAAAAAATATTAAACTAATACTATTCGCACTAACAACTTCATCATTTTGGGCGAATAAAAATTCTAAAGTATTAATGGATACCACACAATTATGTTTCACATATTTTATCTTAACTTGATTTATATATTAATAAAAATTTAATTTGTGTGAAACTCAACGTATAAGATATTTTATTTCTTTCGTGAAATTTTAAATTTAGAATATTCTTTATTTGTGACAAATCAAAACAATTAATATTTCTGAGATACTCGATGTAAAAGTATTATATCGAATGTTATTATTGTACGTAAAATAAAATTATGTAGAAATATCTCTCACGTATATACAATACATATGTAGATAAAGTAGATATATACGATCGCACACACATGTGAAGAATATAAAGAAAATTATGTCAACTTTTACAATACAAGTTCGTATTTAATTTATTGACATTTATATGTGTCTCTGTTACGTCTATTAGTAATGTAATGTAAATGCAATTAATAATAAACGAATTCAACGATCATTATGTCGCTGTTCTATCAATGGAAGAGAATTTCGTCTCGTGCTTAAAAAGACCCATATTAACATATGAAACGAGCACGATATGTGCACGGCTGGCTATTCGTCGTACTTAAGAGAGACTCAAAGAAATAGAAAGTTTTTTTTTATCTACCGTTATTGCGACTATCAACGCAATGTGTGTTTGAATTCATGACGACGATAAACACTCCGACGGACAAAATGCGCTTTCTAGGCCGGGCATTAATTAACATAAGACTTCTAATAAATAGATACAATACCTTAAGATAAACTGGCAAGAATCCAGTTCAATTGCACGAGACTCAGAATAGCTAAAGGATATTTCAAAAATATTACGGATATTAAAAATTTTTAGTCTGACCTAATTACGAATAATACAAAGACATTCCAGAAAGACAAAAGAATTTTCGTGAAATTATGCCACGAAGTAAAAATGTTTAATAAAATTTACCCTTCTATTTAATTTTAACAAAAATTTTATTTAAAGCTTATTTATTAATAAATTCATGGTAAAACGTTAGTTGTTTAGCTTCGTGACATGTGAAAAAATTAGTTATAAATTGCCGATCGCGTAGCCAACACTATCGTGCCGGTATGATTGTGGGAACAAAGAGTTTACTTCAACTGTTATTAGCTGTTAACTTCACCTATCCTATCATTAAACGCATGGAAAAAAAATGTAGGTGAACATTGATCGATCGCTCGACCGCTTTAAGTTCGATCGGATTGATGCATTGGACAATCTTCTCTTTCTCTCTCGATAGAAGAATATTTATAAAATTTACACAGTTATAGAGATCTATATTTTTCCCTTTTTTACGCGCATATGTTTTAATAAATTTGATAAATAAATAAAATTAACAAACATGCAGATTGAACATAATAATATGGATTTATTTTTTCTAAATGTGTAATATCTTGTATTTTATAAATGCAGCATAATAAATAGAATCAAATGTTTGCTCTATTTCAAATTATTTAATAGCACGTCGTTGTAATTATTTTCTTTACGTATAACGATTATTATTCCGAAAATTTGTCAACTATATCATGCATCACGAAAATATAACCGTAACTTAACTAAGGTATCCTGGAGATAGCATCTTATAGAAGTCTTATAGACTAATGGCGTGAGTTATTCTTGTTACTTACTATGTCAATCAATTATCACCTGCCATCCGAGAGGATGGCATTAAATCCATCCTATTAAATCCATCCTTTTAATTCCTAGAAGGGGGCTGAATTTGGCTCGTAACGAAGGGAAAGAGGAAGAAACGTGAAATCGATCTCTCGGCACGCCATTGTTTCCATCTCAAGAATCGATCCGTGGAATCTCTAACTCCTAATTATCCGAACTAATTATGACTAAGGTCTCGATCCATCGGAACATCTCGCTGGGTCCTTGCAGCGAAGGGTGGGATGAGTCGGCGGTCTGGTGGGGACCATTTCTATATAATCGACGGTGAAGGTGCCCGTCTCTTCATATCCTATCAGTGACCACGTTTCTTTAACCGCTGTCTTCCAAGTCTATCCGTATTATTTTCAAGAGACAAGTGATACAAGGTGAGTGCCGCATTCCGGACGTTGTCCGGAAGGATCGAAACCTACGATATAATTTCAGTGAATTCAAATTTCGATGCCGCGAACAGATAAAAATCTTTACGATTATTCATAATAATGAAAAAATGTGTGCGATATACACACAGATACATATACAATTAAGGTAAAGTAAAGTACTTTTTCCTTTTGCATTGAAAGTTGAATTTGAGTAAAATTTGATTTTAAATACTTTTAAATTAATGTTTGTAATTAAAAATTATTACGCATTTTTTGGATGCAATATTAATTTAAATATTATCTTTTTTATAATTACTTTTTATAATTAGTACATATAATACAATTTTCATAAATGAAAGATTGCTATTATTTTGTCTCTACAAATGTATCATAACAGATTAGATTGTATATAGCAGCAAATTGATTACATGCAAATGATAAAAAGACAAACTTTTAGTGAAAGTAATATAATTATCATTTAAAGAGAGAAAGGGAGAGTATATGATATATAATTAATATTAATTACTATTAATTATTCCTCATTTTGTAAACATTTATATAACTAAAATTATCATATAAATTGTTAATATTTACATAACCAAAATTATCATATAAATTATAGAAAAAAATATCTCTTCAAAATTATTTTGATTCTGAAATTATTCTAATATAAATACATTGATGATATTTGATACTTTTTGATTGTTTTTCGCCGAAGAAATTTCGTTTGATATCGATGCGATTTGATGATGTAACAAATATATAATTAGCATATTCGTGTCCATGCATAAAAAAAAACTGTCTTGTGACTTCGTTAGACGAGACACTCCCTAAGAGAAACTTCTGTCTGATGGAAAGGAACTGTTCGTGTCGGTGAAATGAAATCGCGTACCTATATGTCAACGCCATTACGTACGAAACTCTCACCGACTGTCCCAAAGCGATCATAATAAGCCAACGAAATTGTTTTATCAGAATATTTAAATTAATATTTATATAATGGGAATCGACAGAATATTTAAATTAATATTTAAATATTCTGTCGATTCCCATTAACATATAAAAATTATCTGACGATTTGGCTATGGATCTTTTGTGTTACTCATTACATATTCGCTGCTCATTATTATATCTATCATTATTATCTCTCAATTATGATAATTTCTTCTCACTTCTAAGAAAAATATTGTATAGCCTCATATAATCTCGACAGATGCATTATCAATTATATTATTCGAAATATACATTAATTGAAGTTACACAGCGAACATTTATTTATTGCGGTAAAAATTTTGCAAATTGCTCTAAATTACAAAATTAAATAATTCAATTTGCATATTACTGTTTGTTAACCGTAATAATCTTCTTTGTATTCTTTTATTGTTCCGTGATAGATGATGCTAGTGCCGCTGGCTGTAGTGCTCCTCGCGGCATTCGCCAACGCCGAGCCGGCGATCAATGAAGCCCGACCGCATAGTAATCGACCTGGAAGATTCTTGTCTCTTCCGATACCGCAAAAGTGCGCAAATCGTAAGTACCTTCTGTCATCGATCATTACTCTGCCTCAATCATTACTCACATTGTGCCCGCTGCGGGCGATGATAGCGCATTGCGAGAGGAAAAATCTGGTGCTATCTTTCCAAACTTTTATTCAGCTCGATTCCGCTGTCTGGGGATGCATTAAGTTGCAAATACTGCCTAGGAAAGCTAAGCTAGAAGCGCGTGATCAATAAAAAGCCATTGTCTAATTATTACTATGATAGTATATATTATCACGATATAATAAATTAATTACAAATGCGCAAAATCTACAATGTATTACTTTGTGTCTTTAAATTATCGGTAGTTGTCAATTGCGCGATTTATTTAACAGGATTTGGTAAATTGTCGCTCATTCTGTAATTAAGAGTGGCCGTTTTACGGGGATATCTTACAAGTATCTTGGGATAATAAATACGGAGCAAATTGTTAAATGGTCTAATTACCCGTGGAAACATATTGTCAACCGAGTTTCACCCTTCACAATGCAGGGAAATCTCTGTGTTTTTGTAATACAATGATGCGTGCTCGCTCACACGAAACCGTCCGAGTCTGCCTCGATTGGATCACCCGCGCGTAAAACGTAAAACCGTAAAACAAGAAACGCAGCGTATACTTTCATCGTCGTCGCGGAGCGCTCGCAGTAGGGGCAATCGTGCGTCTCGGACGCGCGGCACTGTCGTGCCGTCTCTCAAAGGAATCGAGGTTACAATGCTGATACACGTTAAGAAAGGAAGGGGGGAGAGGTCCCTCGCGCAATTTCACGAGCTACGAGTTTACTTTTAAAAGCAGACGAGCCTCTCTCGACTCTTGTGCAAGCACGCGCCCCGGGTATTCACTTTTGATCACCGAGTGAGTAGGTGGTACCGGCTCGCGCGTCCACTTGTTACCACCACAACAGGTTCCCGATAATACTGCATCGCGAACTTTCCTGGAGATTCTTTATCTTGCCCGACGTACACTTTCTCGACGCCACTCGATCAAAAAGCCAGCCGTGCCTCGAAACGAGGCATCCGCAAAAGTGGACTTAATTTCGAGAACTTTGTCAAAACGAATATATATGTTTTATTAGCTTAATTATATTTGTCTTCTCGCAATGTAAAACGAAGTCTTATAAGTTACTTAAGTAACGTATAAAATAATTAGCATTATATTGTAAAGAGGGAGGGAAAGAGATATGGATAATGTACCTGTGTGAAAAATATTGTGTCACTTTAATATCTTTAATGCAGTAAGTACCTACTACGTTTCTGCTACTGAATGATTGCGCGAGAATCGTCTGCTTTCTACTCGTTTAAGTAGCAATCTCGTCGGCTAATGGTATTCTGATCCATGGCCTGTCTTGCGGCCTCATGGTTCACAAAATGACCGTTTGTAACGCAATACTAATGTTAAGCATCACTGAATTAGCATTGCCTTCGGTCAGACAATTTCCGCGAGGATGTCTCAACATTGTTATACGCGTCGGATTAATTCAGTGAGATCTTCATTAATGACGTCATAGCAAGGACATCGATGATTATTCAAATGGTAATACGCTCGCCTATCTCTCGCGAGTTATTAATGCCGTCGGTCTATAGCCACGAAATATTAGCTCATTGAAATAATATCTGCCGGTTTCATAACTGATTAACATCAACCTCAGTCGTGACTCTCTTCTTTTCTTCTAGATCATAATGCTGGCTATATCGATATAAGTAGAAAGAAGGCGGTGCTAAAAAAAAAAAATCACGCTGGAGACCTTGATTGATTAGCTGCGATCGGTAATTTGTCGTATCTTCATTATGTAACCACCCTTGTAACGCGGTGTAAAGAGAAAGAAAGTTCAACTCGAATCAGCGCCGAACGATATCAGTGCGAGCGAAGATTACGAGCGAGAGAATACGGCGTTGTTTGCCCTACGCGCTAAAGATTTTCTCGCAATCGGGGAAAACGAGTAGTATTGCGGGAATGTAGATCAACGCGTTTATTACGAGTCAAAGTGCAACGCTGGGGACAGGGAGAGATACGGAATTTCCAAATGGACGTATTTCCACGGTATTTAATAACGTGAGAGGCACGAGTAGGCCGTGGGAGTGAATCGGCTTTGCCGCAATGGTGCAACGTAATGATGTTCGGATACGACCACAATCACCTAACAACCTAATGATTGCATGCTCGCTCCCCTGGAATGCCCGATCAGAGGCAGGATGGCAGGATGGAGTTTATGCCGACCAAGTCAATAGTAATCAGATGTAGCGTGATCCTCGCGCTCGCGCGCCAAGAAAAAGTATGTAATAAGCGTGTCAATGCAGGTGCACGCGCGCCGAAGAATGCGCAGAAACATAATGGAGAACCGGCATAAACCCCATAGTTGCGCCGCGCAGCGAAAAAAGAATGCGAAAATGTTTAAGTACACGCGCGAGCATTGTGGTGTATATGAAATTTACGATGATATTTCTAAAGATTCCACGAGAAGTGGAATTTTATGCCGTGTAAAAGTAGTTACGCATGAGAAACTGTAAAGAAAAAAAAAAAAAAAAATATATATATATATATATATACAGACAGAGATTTAGCATGTATGAATAATAGTTTTATCTGCATTCGCATCATTACGAAGAGCTTGCACCACTATTTTGTCAGGCTCGTATATCCATCGATATCGGATGTAGATCTCGATGTGTTAAAATCTTTTCGTCAGATCCCTCCGTCCAATTAAGATAAAGGATTAACGGAGCGTTGCGATTAATTCTTATAAACTCACGAGAATACCATGAAGCCGTTAGTAACACAATGGAAACACACGTAATGTGTGCGTGCCTGACTTATACTCTTAAAGCAAGCGGTAATGACACGCTTGTTGAGTAACATGTGAACAAGTATCGGCCGTGGATATTATATAATACCCATCGGCCTATTAAGCCGGTGTCCGACGGTGCTATTACGGTGAAGATACGCGATTAAGCGTCCGCATGCTTTACCACATTACTCTCGCGCATATTGCAATTACAGTCGAGGTTGTTAGATGCGCGCGGTAATTTTATACAATTTTCAAATTTTCCTGTCGAGCCTGGCGCGAAGTGAAAATCTGTCTTGTGTGTCAAATCGATACGTGTGGTCTGGGGTAGGGTATTGTAATATATTGCTGTGTACAAAGAAAAATGTAAAGATAGGCTTGCGAGCTATACTTATTCCATGATCACTTGTTAACAAGAACACGCGACGTGATAGTGCGCGGATGATCTTTGACGGGTGATAGTAAATAGTAATCTGCACACTTACGGGATAGCTTTCTTGTTTTACCCGTTGAATGAAACCTTCGAAATATTAATGTCCAATGATAAGAAAGATTGTTATAATTAATTAAATAAATAATAGGCTACAATATGTGTAATTAATTAAATAGAATTTCGCATAGCTTGCGCAAGATGCTACTGTACGTTGTACAGCTACGACTTTATCCTACTATGGACGAGTCTCACGTTGGGCTCAAAAGCGTGATAAGGACGTCCGATAATTTCGCAAGCTCGGAGTGAAAAAAAAAAATTGAGGCAGACAATCGCGTAAGGTTAATCGACGTATTATACCGCCGTTAATCACAATTGCGTAACGCGACTGACGCCGAATAAAAGACCGCCGCTAACAAATCGCCGTTAAATCGCCTTATGACAGTGCGGCTGACCGATCAGCTGTTGCAATCTTACTCGTCGTGAGGTTGACTGACTGACAACTCTACACAAAAGGCCGGCGCTATATCGCCACGAAAATGTCAGGAACTGCTTGCGAAATCGGACAACAACGCTCTTCGGAGATTATCCCTCTGCATGCCGCTTACACGTGTAACGATCAGGCTCGATTCATTCGTAAAAATGTATTTTCATAATGCGACAGGCGTGTATCGCAGCAAAGAAAAATGCTTGTTTTTCATCAATTTTGTCTACATTCTTTGTAACCGTTATAAAGACTTGCGCAAGTATCGTGTAGAATATTTAATTCAATGAAAAACAGAATTGTTATTATTTTCTTTCAATTGAGTTTTCGAATATTCGCTGTCACTAAAGAACATGTCAGATTTAAATTATTGTACATTTTGGTGAAATGTGTAAATGTATTCTGACACATGCCCCAAAGTAAGCTTTTCTGATTGTCATTGCCAGAGAATATTACCGGATAATAATCGTCAATTTCTTTTCGTGAATACCAAGCATTTGCCTGGCGATAAACCGAGAGGGAAGAGCATGGGGAAAACCGTTATCCCCATGCGAGACAAGTCGTGCCGGGACCCATTGACCCGTCGTGTGCAAAGAGAAAAAGTTTCACCTTCGCTTGGCAGCTCGTGCGGAGAGCCACGAGAGTTTCCTTTTCCTTCGCCTCCGCGCTCGAACGTTGTTTATTCACGACTCGCCGTCGACCCACTGATCTCGTTCGCGAGCGAGAAATTGACTCCCGACAAATTCACTTGCGGAGCAGCGTTCAATTAAAGGATTCTATTCGTTATTATAATTAATTGATTGTTTGTTTTTTGCTAAAACAATATTAATATACGATATTAATATATATATATATATATATATATTATATTAATTACGATTTATTAAGATTGATATTAACTAACGTTGGTAGGGCTTCTTTAGTGGATATAAATTATAGAACTTCTGTTGCCTAGTCATTGAAATATTAATTTTATTTTTAAACTTCAGTACATACTTCACGAAATTACATTTGGTAATGGACAGAAACTCAATCTTCAAATTATAATTTAAATTGGGTTATTATTATGTACGTATCCGACATCATTCATATTTTATTATTCTTACAAAAATCAGTAATGAAAGATGCAAGAATTCTTTTCTCTCCTGAGAAACTGCGCTTTCGAACGTTTATCTATTTTTATCATGTAACGCGCCTTACTGAAGGTGACACATCATTTCCAAGAGCCTGCGAATCTCGCGAATCATGGATTTCACACGCGGTGATCAATGTGCACGATTGGTATCCGCTTGCGTGAC